AGAATTTAAAAAATGTTCATCAATTTTTTTTGGCATCCGTGTTTTGTAAAATAATTTAGGAACACGGGATTTAGAAAGATTAATAGGTTTCGTGTTATTTAAATTAATAATACGTTTCGGCAGACACGGCACCGAAACCCTGTTTAGTTTAAATTATCATTGTTATTTTCAGAGGCGCAAACAACGTGTACATTAGAGCGATTATTGTCCGGCACATTACTAGTGCTCGGTACTCGTGTACTTGATAGTGCAGTACACTTATCGGGGCGCATATTATTGTTTTTAACCCTTAACTGGTATCATAAATTTGACATACGTAACTGGTATCGTGGGGGCCCTGCGGCCCCCATAGTATGTTTGCTTCTAGCAAGTAAGTTTTAACTATGTACTTGAATAAATGATCAGAAATAATAAATAATAGGCTTGTTTTTTGTTATCAAATAGTTTTTATTAATATAAACCTTCTTATTTCCATAATAAAAGAGATCACAAAATAATATCAACATATTGGTAATATTTTTTTTCTACGTTACAAATATTAAAGAAAATTATAGTTTTAAAAGTTAAAATCAAAAATTACATTATTTTCCTTAATCTATAATACGTAAACTAAAAAACAAATAACGTTTTATAATCTCTAATCAAAATTTCACAAAAATCAACATGAAATAATTCACTTTTAATCTTAAGGCTCAAAAATACTAATATGAAACTTTGGTTCGGTCTAGACAATTATCACATAGTGTTTTTGTGCTACCATGGACTTTGCAAATGAATTGTGAACAATTATTGCACTTTGTAGCAAATTTCCCATCTTTTTTTCTATCACATAAGTGACAGCGTCCCCTTTTCAAGGCGTTTTGGCTTGGAATAGCAACACTAGACGTCGAGGGTAATGGTGCCATGTTAGCTGCTAAGAAATTATCAATTTTATCACGCAAATCTCATGGGTACTTCAAATACTCAGCTTTTCTGTTTATGATGTGTTCTTTGATGACTTCTATACCAACAGATTTTATGTAGTCCTTTCGCTTCATCTTTTTCTCAGTATTTGAACCTTTCCACAACACATAACCGTTTACACAAGCAATATTTAGAATACCAGCAAATACTACACTTGGCCAACGTCGTGTTCTGCGAGCTACTGAGTAATTAGCGCATTTTTGATCTAAAGAATCCACTCCACCTTTGGTGGAGTTGTAAAACTTTATAATCTCCGGTTTCTTTGTACGTTCATTAACACTTTTGTCATGATGCATTGAAGAAATCATTATAACGCTTTGATTTTTTTTTTGGTACAAAAGAACATAGTGTTATTCTAGCTGTAACTTTTTCTGTATGCTTATGTGGTTGGAATTCAGTTGGGATTTCACGTTTATTTTTTCTCAAAGTCCCGACGTAGGTCAAATTTTTTTCGAGTAATGCATCAACTAACTCCACCGAGGAAAACCAGTTATCTCCTGTTATGTTTCTGTTTGATTCAAAAAGCGGGGAAGCCAATTGTAGTACGGATTGTGTAGGAATAGATGGTTGACCTCTGATGCGTTTCTGCTGTTTGCCGGTATATATGAAAGCGTTATATAAATAGTGAGTCTTAGCATCACACAAACATAATATTTTGATACCGTATTTAGCAGGCTTTGATTTCATGTACACCCTGAAAAGACATCGGCCTCGAAATGGACATCACATTTCGTCAATAGTAATATATTCTGAACAACTGTAATTTTTCTGACAGTTTTCTATGAACTTATCAAATATTTCAGAAATGAGTGCTGCGCGGTTTACATCTTTTCGCTCCTCTCTCGATGCAATATCATCAAACCGAAGATTTGACAAAATAAACAAAAATCTCTAAAGCTCTAAAGATGTCACGACCTGTTCCGTCTGTAGCCCACAATGATTCTACGTCTTCATGTCCTGATTTGAACACTCCTGTCAACAGCAAAAGACCTATAAAAGCTTTCATCTCTGTTACTGACACGTGGTTCATCCAAAATGCATCCATAGTAGTCTTTTCCGAATTCTCAGTAATCTTCTCGTTTATGTAGTTGTTTATAATTTATGTAATGTTATCATCAACTAGCAATTAGGATAAAGGATTTATATTTATATTTAATAAAGGATTATTTGGTATTAATATAACTTTTAGATGGAGCTGGACCAATCAAACCAGGTCTTTGAGCTATAATATTGTGTCGACGAGTACGTGAAGGTGCTGGTGGGTTTTTAGACCACTTGTATTTATTTTGCCCATAGTAGCTTCTGGACTGATTAGGCCCTGTAACATTTACATTTTCACTTCCTGAGGAAGACGCTTCCGTATCAGAATCCACGTCTTGATTATCGTTCAACAAATCAAGTGATATGTATCTTCAAATTATTACTTCACTATCACTACAACATTCTTCTTCAGGCCTGCTACCAATCACTCGGAATCAGAATCTTCGTGTAAGAGTTCTTTTATTATTTTATCACTCAAAGGCCGCGACATTTTGAATTAATAACTGTAAAAAATAACAAACATATAAAAATTGCTATGCAAAAAAATTTACGTAACTGGTATCATGGGGGCCGCGCGGACCCCAACACGTGTATACCTAGTAAGTGATACAGCGCCGAACGTCCAGCACCCGCCGCGAATAGCGAAATAATGAGAATACTTAAAATGGCGGCTGCTCACGATGCTTAGTTTATTAGAACATAAAGAAAACGTCATGCGTGGGGGCCGCGCGGCCCCCACGATACCAGTTAAGGGTTGAACTTGAGTTTGCGACACTCACTTATTAAATGGCCTTTCTTTTTGCAATATGCACATATTTTATTAGGATTAAAATTAGAATGAGGGTTATTATAATAATTATTTGGGTTATTTGAATTTTTATTATGCAATGAATTAGAATTAGAGTTAAGATGATGGAGGTTAGGATAGGAAACCTTTGATTTATTTTTGTTGCACTCGGAAGAAGTGTGTCCGAGTTTGTGGCAAATTGAGCATGATTTAGATGAGCGCAGCGATAATTTACTTAATTTAAATAACTTTTCTTCCTCGATAGCATGCGTAATCGCCTCGGATAAAGTTCGAGGGTTCATACAGCGTACAATTTGCGAATAACTAGAATTCATGCCCAATAAGAAAGTATTTAAAGCTAAGTCTTCCATTGCTGCAAGTCTACCTAAAAGTTCTTTTTCATCCTCACAGCTGTAGTGAATGTCGGATTGAATCCGCGTAAGGCACAATTCAATCCTTAATGAATACTGTGTCACATCTTCAGAAGGCAACTGTTTACAATTTTGTAGGTCTACAAGTAAATGCGTTTATTTTTTTTTTCTCTCCGAATGTTGATTTAAGAAATTGTTTTAATTCGGGCCAACTACTAAATTTCTTTAAGCAACAAGCTAATTGTGCTTTTCCTTCAAGTGGGGACACAATATATTTAAACAAAACATTTTGTTGGTCTGTACTTGCCAATGAAATTGCATTTTCGCAATGTAAGAAATGCTGGCAAAGACTCGCGATCCCCATTGTAGGGCTTAACGAATTCGATAAGGACTGAAAGGGTGATTTTTTCGGACATTTTTAATTTAATATTTTTCCGTGTTGTATTTGATACCGACAGTGAACTATCTGAGGAGTCAGAGTTCGAAATTTTAACTTATTCAGCTTTTACCTTTTTAGAGAATATTAATTAATAAGTAATATTTTTAAAGTACGGTACAGATCATCAGAACACAAAAAATATGTTAAACAAATAGGTATTAAAATACAATGACTTAATGTTAAAATAAATCTCTTATAATTGATTACTGTTTTAGATTAAATCACTTTCACTTGTTTCACTTTAATTAATAACTTTAGAAACTTTAATTTTATTTTTTATAAAAATTACTTATAAAATGTAGATTCTCACAAACATCATGGTTTTCCAAAACGTGTCAGTTAATTCGACACTGCAGCGATACTCTTGCAGCGGTGGCTTGAGTACCTATTCGACGACTCAGGAAGTCATAAAATTACGACGCTATCTCGAAGTCACGTCGCGTTGTCCGTGAAGAGACCTTACACGTGGTGATGATCATGATGATGATGCAAGGTCTGATGTTGGTGGCGAGTCAAACTGTCCGGTGATCCGATAGTGCAAGGGGTTGTGATGCGGGCTCACACTCGAAAGTGGAGACTTATCGTCGACCACGATGGAACAGCAGGAGTTTCTGAATGATGCGGTGCGGAATCGCGCTTAGTAGCGGAGTCTTATCGTCGACCACAAGTGCAACTGTGCGGGCTTAGGCACATGTACCCAAGACTTACCGTCGACAGCTGGCACCTTACATAAGGACCGTGGTGATGAACGCTAAGGTTCACGGAGCCAAATAATTATTAGGCGGGAATTCCTTGTCGCGACGCGCCTAACACCTAGGAATCCCAGTATTTTAATTGCTTTCCCAGGATATCCCACTTCTGACACCAAAATTGTTAGGATGGCTGGCCTGGGGTCCTTTTAAAAAAAAAGACACCTTTACTGCTGCAAAACTAATGTAATTTAATTTACACTTCGGAATATTATAAACTATAACAAAGTTGTGTACCGAACAGAGGTTAGAGTTTGACTGCTTAAATTATATGAAAAATCACTTTTATATACTTTACATAATGCTTACAACAACAATTACTACCTTGTACATCGGTTCATAACAGCACGTTAGCATCCACATTAAATACCCTTCACCAGTCTATCCCTGACTTAAGCCTCCATGGCCCTGACCCACTTGCATCCGTCAATTTTCTGCATGTCTTACTATTTGTTCACTCCTACTACTTGTAACTTAGTATAAATTAATATTATTTGGATAAAATAATAGTTCTACAGTATAGCAAGAAAGTTGAGATTAAGAGGAAAGATTATGACAGGATTGTGCCAAAGGAAAGTCCATAGTCTGCCTACCCCACCGAGTAACAAGCGTAAAAGCTTATTATTTTGATTATATAATTTTTGCTTCAGCCTTGAGCGAACCTTTACCACCGCCGCCGGCGCTGATGCTTTACAGTCCTGGAGAGCCGGAGTACACGGATATTCTGGTTAAGAGGGTGCTGGACAATCTAACACTGATATGTGAGCTACGTGGCGACAGTTCCCCGAGAGTGTACGTGTGGAACTACGTTGGAAATGGCACTGCAAATGAAAGGTAATATTTATTACTTGTTTGAAGGTTTGAATTCTTGTTGAATAAAGGTTTCAAAGTACGTGAGCAACCCCGGTTCGATCCCCGCCGGCACCAATGAAATTGTTAATTGCAGATTCGCCAATACACATTTAGGCAGCGCGGCGGACACTTTCTTGCCCTAAAACCCTCTCAGTGATAAAAGGAGATCTGTGCCCAGCATTGGCGTGTATGTAGCTGTAACTTTAAGCTGCAAGATGTCAATGGTGTGTAACGTCTGGTAAAGACATTGCATATTATGATATATATTAAAAAGAAGCAAAAAAAAAATAATAATTTAAAGTACGTACATTATATGTGTATGCAAACACATACAAACATATATTAATACAAAATCATGTGCTTTTATGAAGTGATGGAAGGGACCGCCTCAGTATAGTTTAGTTTACGACGGGTTGTTTTTTGCAACTCCGCGTTTAACCGCGTATTTGCGTGTGGGCAGGAATAATGTGATTATTTGAGCCATGAAATCTCCCTGAAGAAGTTCAACAGACCTTTGACGTTGCAAGCAACTTCGGGGAGCGATCCCGGCGTGCCGAGATATTTAGCCCTGTATGAAGCGACCTCCGGACATGTCAGCAACACGTGAGCCGCCGTTTCTTCCTCCCCATGCATGCCCTGCACAGGGGGCTGTCAGTAACACCTATGGTGAACAAATATTTGTTAAAAAGAGCCATGTCCTGTGATATTACTTGTTACTATCCTCATCTGTGGCTTGTTCAGTCTCATTAGAACCTTGGTTAGACAATTGTTTATTTCAGGCAGTGCTTCCCTAGGTTGTATACAAAAATTTTCCAAAGCTGAGCGTGTAAATTAATGAAGTTTCTACGTACCAGTGAACGAACGTAACCAAAGGGGATTGATATTATAGGTTCCGGCCGTATAGTGGCCAGAGCCAATTCCCTTCTGACCACTTCATCTGCTGCTGCGGGTTTTCACGAAATTGGGAATAAAATTTTCGTATATTTAATACTCATTATTATTTATTAACGTTATGTACCTATATATACACACTTACTAACTTACTACATCCTTACTACATACTTATAAGTTAAAACATTAATTGAACAAGATAAGTTTTACTGACTACAAGAAAAGATACGTTTACAAGTGTTGCACTGCCAACTATTTTCGAGACAATTTCTTTTTATAGATGTTTTGTCTTCGATTGTTAAATTTAATTATGTGATGTATTCACATTCGGATTAACAATCATATAAAAAAAATTAGAGACACAAGTACGACCATCATTTGAATTCAACTTTACTTAGTACCTCATATAACTATAACAGTAATTTATGATTTTTTTTATAGATATAATTTTCGAAATATTATAATAATAATAAAGCTTTATTTCTCTACACATTTACAGAGCTATCAAAATTATAAATAAATACGTAGAACTATTAGAAAGTTCTTTTTGTTTTATGTAGTCCCTCTTGGGTAAAAGCCTCCTCCAATTTGAACCATTCTTCACGAGTTTTGGCAATTTGCATCCATTCTTCTCCTGCTATGATAATAATGTCATCCACCCATCTTTTCCTTTGCCGACCTACACTTCTCTTGCCAAATGGGCCCTTCCATTTTGTTGTTTGGTAGGTCCATCTTTTGTCCTGGTATCTAGCTATGTGTCCTGCCCTTTTCCATTTTTGTATTTGACTATGCTGAAGTGCATCCGTTAATTTAGTTTTCTTTCGAATATCTAAATTTCTTGTTTTTTGTATTCTCCTTAGTTTAAGGATGCTCCTCTCCATAGCATGTTGGCAAGACAAAATTTTGTTTTTCACTCTTTCAGTGTACACATGTTTGACTTGCATAGAGACTGGGATAATACACGAGTCCATTATTACCTTTTTCATTATTAGGTGTAATTTCCTTCGAGAATTTCTTTTTGAGCCCAATATTTTTTCCGCGCTATATTCATTCTTCTGTATTTCTTTTCTGTGTTGTTTAGTTCGAAAGATATCAATTTGCCTATATTTTTCGAAAACGGCACTTAAAATTAGTTAAATAATTATTAGTATAGTAAAGTATTATACAACACGCTCGCGCCAAGCTCATGTATTGTATAGCAGACTTAGTGGAGTGATCTGACAAAAGGTCACGCCGCCCACTGCCTTGCAAGGCCTACACCATTCCTCTGTTCAAGTACATTTGTTTCGAGCACACAGTCCACCTGATGGTAGGTGGGTGCTGAGACGAATAAACATCTACATTTATCCTCGTTTAAGAATCAAAATGCAAATGCGTTGCACTCCAAGATGGAACGCCTCGTTTCCAGTAAAAAGGGTCCCCCGGTTCTCTACACTCACCATACTAAACACAGTAGTATTGTGTAAAATAGCAGTGGTATTCTGTGAGAGTGTGGTCCTATCCCGGTCGAGCTAACCCATTTGTGGTACAACGGTTCGGCTTGGAAGACATAATTATTATTATTAATATTTAATTGTCTTGGTTATTATTAATATTTATTTATATTGGCTGTTCCGCTGTATAGTCAGGGGGGTTTTCATGCTGGTCTACCTTTCCGGTGATCCTGTTATGGAATACGGGTACGTGACCCCGGCTCCCCGAGCTACTGTTATTCTCATACCTTTCCTGCCGAGATAACAGTATCCTTACACCTGCGCTCCTACCCCCAACCTTCTTTTTCCTTTTCCCAAAATGGTAGCTTCCTCTACCAACAATAGCATACCCAAAGAGGGTTGGTGTCAGGCAGGCGGCCGACTGTAAAACTTTTGCCAAATCCCATGCAGTAAACCTATGAATATTACGAGTTGTGGGATATATGACAGGGCTAGGGCGTACCCCGCAGGCGACGCGCAGGGGCAGCACCCGGCTCCTGTGGGAAGTGGGCAAGGGTTGTCGCACCTTACGGAGCGGGTGCGACGTAAGAGGCGAGCCCGGAGAGAGAAGAATGTAAGAGTGAGGTTTGCAAGCTGGAATGTAGGTACGATGACTGGAAGAGGAAGAGAGTTAGCAGATGTTTTGAAACGATGAAGAGTGAATGTTGCCTGTGTGCAGGAAACAAAATGGAAGGGCAATAAAGCAAGAGAGATTGGGGAAGGATACAAGTTTTATTATTGTGGAAGTGATGGGAAGCGAAATGGAGTAGGAGTTGTGTTAGATAGTGGAATGAAAGAACGAGTGACAGATGTGAAAAGAGTAAATGACAGAATGATAGTTGTTAAATTAATGATTGAAAACAAAGTAGTGAATGTTGTAAGTGTGTATGCTGCGCAAACAGGATGTGAAGAGAGTGTGAAAGAGAAGTTTTGGGAGGAATTTGATTGTATGATGATGGGAATACCTGAGAGTGAGGATGTTTATATGGGAGGAGATTTTAATGGACATGTAGGGAGAGTGAATGACGGGTATGAAAGAGTACACGGTGGATGGGGGTACGGAGTGCGGAACCGTGAGGGGGAAGTTCTTCTGCAAGCAGCATGTGCTTTCGACCTGGCTGTAGTAAACACGTGGTTCCAAAAACGAGATCAGCATCTTGATACTTATAAAAGTGGCCACCACGCGACACAGATCGACTATCTTCTGATAAGACGGAACCAAATCAAGAGTGTAAAAAACTGCAAAGTGCTTCCAGGTGAAGACTTAGTATCCCAGCACCGAATTCTGCTGGCTGACATCTGCTTAACTGTTCGCCTCAACAAACATAAGGATCGTCCCCCACCCAAAATAAAGTGGCATTTGTTGCATAAGGAGGAGTATGCAAGTGAATTTAGAGAGCTAGTTGTAAACAAGATGATAGAGATGGCTGATATGGAAGGAATGAGTGTGAATGAGTGCTGGAAGGAAATGGCTGATTGTATCCGAAGTGTGGCAAGGAAGGTGTTAAGAGAAACAAAAGGGAAGCGTATGATAGATAAGGATGGGTGGTGGTGGAGTGCAAGTATTAGAGAAGTTTTGAGAGAAAAGAAAAATGCCTTTAAAGAATGGCAGAGCGTAGAAGACCAGAATGATTCCATAAAAGAAAGTAAGAGAGGGGCGTATAAAGAATGTAAGAAGAGAGCAAAGAAGGAAGTTGCTATTTGTAGGGCAGAGGCGCAAGATAAATTATATCGGTCCCTTGAAAGCCCCGAAGGTCAAAAACGACTTTTTCAAATTGCAAAAGCGAGAGAAAGGAATGGAAGAGATGTTTCACATGTAAAATGTATAAAAGATGATTCTGGAAGGATTTTGACTGACGATGAAAGTATAAAGAAGCGATGGAAGGAGTATTTTGAGAAATTGATGAATGAGGAGAATGAATGGAATGGTATGCTTGAAAACCCACCAGTGAATATGGGCTTAGTGAGAGAAATTAGTGTGGAAGAAGTAAAAATGGCTGTTAGGAATATGAAGAATGGGAAGGCGGTCGGCCCAGATGGAATACCAGTAGAAGTGTGGAAGTTGCTGAGTGCGGATGGATGGAAGTGGTTGAGTTTATTTTTCGGTAAATTGTTGCAGGAAGAACAAATACCTGAGGAATGGTGCAGTAGTATACTGGTCCCCATTTTTAAAAACAAAGGAGACGTTCAAAACTGCAGCAGTTACCGGGGAATAAAACTCATGTCACATACGATGAAAGTCTGGGAAAGAATAATAGAGAAAAGAATGAGAGAAGAGTGTGAGATAACACAAAACCAGTTCGGATTCATGCCCGGTCGAGGTACGACAGATGCCATTTTCGCATTACGCCAATTGTGCGAAAAGTACAAGCGCGTGCATAAAAATCTGCACATGGTTTTTGTCGACCTTGAAAAGGCGTACGATCGGGTTCCCCGTGAGGTTTTGTGGTGGGCGTTAAAGATGAAAGGTATGCCTGGGAAGTATGTGAGGTTAGTCCGTGCTATGTACAGAGCATCCCGTACATGTGTACGATCTGCCGCGGGAACTACGGGCAGTATCGATGTGGCGGTAGGGCTGCACCAAGGGTCGGCATTGAGCCCTTACCTCTTCCTACTGATTATGGACGCTTTGACGTCGGACCTGCAGGATGAGGCACCCTGGTGCATGCTCTTTGCCGATGACATCGTGCTTGTCGGGGAAGAAGGCATCGAGGTACAGAGCAGACTGACGGGGTGGCAACAGAGGCTGGAAAGTGTTGGCTTGAAGATCAGCAGATCCAAAACCGAATATCTGTGCTGTGATTTCGGCGGTCTTTCCAGTCCTGTACCCATATCGTTGGATGGCGCTATACTGCCTACCTGCTCAGAATTCAAGTACCTCGGTTCCCTCATTCAAGGCAACGGCGGAATAGATAGAGCTGTGCAGCATAGGATTAACGCAGGGTGGATGAAATGGCGACAGGTCACAGCCACAACGTGCGATCCCCGAATGCCAATAAGGCTGAAGGGGAAAATTTACAAATCGATCATCCGACCTGTCGTCATGTATGGAAGTGAATGCTGGGCCGTCAAGAAGAAGGATGAAAATAGACTGCATGCGAATGAAATGAGAATGTTACGATGGATGTGTGGTGTGACAAGGATGGATAAGATAAGGAATGAATATATAAGAGGAAGCCTGAAAGTTGCACCAGTGGTAGAAAAGGTGAGAGGAAGCAGATTGGCATGGTTTGGGCATGTGATGCGGAGGGATGAAAGTCATGTCACAAAACGAGTGTTGAATATGAATGTGGAGGGACACACGGGCAGAGGAAGGCCGAATAAAAGATGGATCGATTGTGTGAAGAGTGATATGAGAATGAAAGGAGTAAGTATGGAAATGACGGCTGATAGAGAGGAATGGAACGAGAAGATTTACTGCGCCGACCCCAGATAATGAGAAATGGTCTAGAGAATGATGATGCTGTTCCGCTGTAGGCCATTCACTGTGGAACCGAGTGGGCCGAGCAACTCGAGTCAGCTGCAACGACTGGGACTGCGGATTGGTGACAGCGGCCACTATATGTGTTCAGCGCCGCCCTTCAGTGTCACCAAGTATGTCCTCGTGCAACCCAAGGGTGAGTCAGATGTTAACCTTTTTGTATTATGTAATTTTCTAAGTAAGCCGTGTAGTGGCGGTGTAAGAATATCTAGTACCCCATATCTTCCCGTGTCTGTTGTAAGAGGCGACAGAGCGAAATATTATAATTTAAGGCAGGAGATGGGCAGCAGCATCTTCCTGATAACAGCAATAGTACAATAAAAACTGCGGTTGCCAACCCGCTCGCCAAGCGAGGCAACTATGGCAAAATATCCCCCTATGATGAGAGCTACAAGGACACGGCTCCCAGTACCCGGCGGCCTCGCTATTTCTGGTTACGGTGGCGACCATGGTAACGGTGTGGCAGGGGTGCTAAGAATCTTAGGTGCAGGTTCCATTGCCACCTACGACAACTCTACCTGATAACATATAACGCACGCGCTCTGAGGACTGATAGGAAGATCCTGGAGCTGGAGGAAGAGATATACAAATTGCGTTGGTATATTATAAAATTATATAAGGTCTGAAGAGAGGGGGAGGACAGTAATCCTCGAATGCGGCAGATTGTTTTTTCACCGGGAGGGCGATCATCTGTCCCTAGGAGGTGTTAAATTTATCGTCCACAAGTCTCTCGTTAACAAAGTTGTTAAGATTGTGAGTGTGTCGTCAATTACTTCATCAATCTTATACTCAGAATCACCTTACAGTATTCGTTGAAGGTCATACAGAATTACGCACCAACCTCTGCAGATCCCAATGAGGAGGTAGAGGAAACGTATAAGGATATCTCTAAAGCCATGCATTCTTTCAAAACCCACTATAACCAACGGTTCGACAAAAATGTGATTGACTTCGTGATGACTACTGTTCAGTGATGTCTCAGCGATCACGAGGGTGAAAACCACCGAATGGATAGAGGCACACTGAGCCTAAATGTTAAGTTGGAGAGGTCTCGTCTAGTGAAGTTTACGCTTCGTCCCCCTTGTGCTCTAATCCAAAGTTCCAAAAACTTTCAGCTTGAGTTACAAAACCATTTTAAGTGCCTAGAAAACAATATACAATACTTTTCAATTAAATGACATTGTGTAATGTCGCCTCTACACGTTGGCCAACACAGTGGTGAATGTAGTGGCGAATATATTGGCCGAGAGTTGGTGACGGCGTCCACACGTTGGAAGATCGACGGCGTCCACACGTTCAGTTTACTTCGGTTCGGGCCAATGTGCGGACGAATTTATTTTATTTTAGACGACGGCTCCGTGGCGCAGTGGCTTGGCAATGAGTGGCTGTGCCAGGGGTCGCAGGTTTGAATCCCGCACGGAACAAGTATTTGTATATCCTACAAATAATTGTTTCGGGTCTGGATGTGTGTCCTTGTGCAATTTATGTTTGTAAGTTGCCTCCGCGATACAGGAGAAAATCCAAGTGTGGGGGGTAACGTTTTTATAAAATATTTATAAAAGAATAGTGAATATTAATGGGGCTGTAAATAGATATACGATAGATTAGCTTTATTTATTCTTTACATGCATCAGAAACTGGAATAAATACCATTAATTAGAACTTAACTTATTTAAAAGTTAAAGGAGTTATAATCCATTAGGCTATGTTTTAAAATTGGGTTTTGTTTTTAAAGTTTAGCAAAACATGTACTTGATTTTTTATCAGACATTTGATGTATATAAAAAACACCTTATAATTTATTTGGTAATTTAATTATTTTTTGAGAAAGACAAAAATAATAGCAATAAATATAATTAACACTGACTTAATAATAGGTACTAATTATAACTTAGAACATAAATGAAAAACTCATGACAAGAAAAGTGGCACAGGACCATACTTTGCGGCATTCTTTGGAGGAGGATGCTCAGTAGTGGACTTGTGAAGAGCTGTAATGATGATGATGATTCGAAAAATTGCACGATTAAATTATAAGAAATCGACGCTTTTTTATATAGGATAGGGTGACAAACGAGCACACAGTTCACCTGATGGTAAGTGATGTCTGTGGCCCACAGACATCTACATCTATCCTCGATTACGAATCAAAATGCAGATGCGTTGTCACCCGTGAGGACTAAGATGAAATGCCTCGTTTCATTTAAGAAGTGTTTCTGGTTCTCTACACTCACTATACGAAACATAGCATCATTAAGCTACTATTTTACATTGACATTCTGTGAGAGCGTGGTCCTTCCCCGGTCGAACCGACCCATTCGTGCTACAACTATACTTCTAATATAACTGCATGGTTCTACCACGTATAAACGACGTGCTTCATTTTTTTTCATTTTAAAATTGTTCTCGTAATAATCTGATTGTAAATAAATGTTCATTATTTTTTTTTATAAATAGCTTACCGATTAAAACAAATGTTTAAAAATAATTAAAGTAGTAGTAGGAATGTTTAAAGTTGAAATTGGCACTAAAAGGCTGGTAATTGGGTCATCCACCCTACAAAGCGTGAATATAAAATTTTTATCAGATGCGTGTAATCACTCTGGGAGCTTGTAGCAAACTAAACTCGCGGCCAACATGTGGACGCGGCGACCAAACTCTGCCAACAATCCTTTGATCTTTTGTAAAAAAACCGACACCACTCGGATCTCGCGCCAACTTGCGGGCCATCGTTCCAATACATACCAATGAAGCCCAAACACCCCGTCTACACGTTGGCCAATGCTGTTGGCCACTACATTCGCCACTGTGTTGGCCAACGTGTAGAGGCGCCGTAACAAGAAACTTCACCTCAGTCCAAATTAAGTTGTTTGTGTTCTTATAACTTATGTAAGGAATATTTTACTTATAGTCTAGGAGTATTGGTGCATGATTATCGAAAACTATTCCACCGCGATCTCTTTACCCGATTCTCTTCAAATTATCCTACTGATGATATTTTCTTTCATTTGCATTTCATTGGCAGGAACTTTTATTTTCAAACGTGACAACTTTTTTTTCTTTGTTGAAATACGAATCCTATTTATTTTTTTGATGCATTTAATATTTTCGGGGTTATGAATTTTTAAATGTTTGAAAAATACCAAATTCAGATAATTTTGACCAATTCAAATAATAAAGAAAAATAATAAAATATAAAAGATATTTTTTTATATTTTTTTTCATGAAATACAAATAAAAAAGGTCATATGACTTATTACGATAAAGTTAATATTTTCAGTTACGTTGTATAAGTTTTTAAATGTTTGAAAAATCCCAAATTCGGATACTTTTGACTTATTAAAATACATAAAGAAAAATAATAATTGTCTTGATCGAAAATAACAATTCCTTGCAATTGGAAAAAATCGGTTTTAACAAATATGGCACCGAGTTGCCCCATGACAACATGCATTTATATCATCCGTATGATAATTTAAAATTCAAAATAAAAAAATTGGTTGACCCTGCAGGCCATCCCAGAAACTTCCCGCTAATATCAAATGCAAAGCACTCTAAATTTCACCAAATTATGTTGCGAAATCAATGGCATGGTTTTTTTTTAATTCTTTCTCCTTCGATATTCGACGTCATTTTTTGAGGTTAAGAGCTGATTAGTTGTTGAAATCGATCGGTAAAGCCGTTTAAAAGTTATTCTAAAAAAACAGTTTCAAAATTTTTATTTTTGAGATTTCTCAAAATCTACTCGTCCGAATCAGTTCATATTATCACCAAATCTTTTCCACATTGAGATCTTTAGAAAACTGCATCTCAATCGATCAAGACGTTCAAAAATTATGAAAGGTTTACATACTTACACATACACACATACATACATACATCCGTACGGACGTCCACGTGAAAATAGTCAGAATAGCTTCCTGGGATCTCAAAACGTCGAGATCTGATGAATATTTGATTTTCGAAAGCCGGGGTGAAACCAGTAACTTCCCTATTTTTGAAAATTCTCAATATTTTTTAGCGGGAAGTTAAAAATAATTTTCGGTACTCATGCGCCGATTCCTTCTAGACTATTACGCATATTAGACATAGACGCAGAAGTCTAGTGCTGTCTCTATCACTCGAAATCAAGGTGACTGTGACTGTGTGTTTGTATATTTGGCTATTAGAATCTTTTACTCATAATATAATTTGTACACATTATAAACAGTTGCAAATAAAACCTATTTAAGAAAGGACGTATTATACATAGTATAGACAAAAACAGCACTATTACAAATACAATAACCGTAAATTAAAATTCATTTAAAAACAGTAGCGTGTTTTAAGTGGTTTTGTGTATACGTGCTCGCAGGACCAAAGATGTGCGCTCGAGGCGCGTTCGCGTGCGAGTCGCGGTGTGTGCTCGCAAGCTACGTGTGCGACGGGCGCCGCGACTGCTTGCGTGCGGAGGACGAGGCGCCTGCGCTCTGCTCGCCGCGGCCCTGCGCGCGTGAGTACACTCGCACTGTACCCACACTGTGTACACAACGTGCACGCACTGGGATCGCAGCCACGTGTGCGATGGCCGCTGCGACTGCCTGCGTGCGGAGGACGAGGCGACCGCGCTCTGCTCGCCGTGGCCCTGCGCGCGTGAGTACACTCGCACTGTACCCACACTGTGTACACAACGTGCACGCACTGGGATCGCAGCCACGTGTGCGATGGCCGCTGCGACTGGTTGCGTGCGAAGGACGAGGCGACCGCGCTCTGCTCGCCGCGGCCCTGCGCGCGTGAGTACACTCGCACTGTACCCACACTGTACACACAACGTGCACGCACTGGGATCGCAGCCACGTGTGCGATGTCCGCTGCGACTGCCTGCGCGCGGAGGACGAGGCGACCGCGCTCTGCTCGCCGCGGCCCTGCGCGCGTGAGTACACTCGCACTGTACCCACACTGTGTACACAACGTGCACGCACTGGGATCGCAGCCACGTGTGCGATGGCCGCTGCGACTGTTTGCGTGAGAAGGACGAGGCGACCGCGCTCTGCTCGCCGCGGCCCTGCGCGCGTGAGTACACTCGCACTGTACCCACACTGTGTACACAACGTGCACGCACTGGGATCGCAGCCACGTGTGCGATGGCCGCTGCGACTGTTTGCGTGCGAAGGACGAGGCGACCGCGCTCTGCTCGCCGCGGCCCTGCGCGCGTGAGTACACTCGCACTGTACCCACACTGTGTACACAACGTGCACGCACTGGGATCGCAGCCACGTGTGCGATGGCCGCTGCGACTGCCTGCGTGCGGAGGACGAGGCGACCGCGCTCTGCTCGCCGCGGCCCTGCGCGCGTGAGTACACTCGCACTGTACCCACACTGTGTACACAACGTGCACGCACTGGGATCACAGCCACGTGTGCGATGGCCGCTGCGACTGTTTGCGTGAGAAGGACGAGGCGACCGCGCTCTGCTCGCCGCGGCCCTGCGCGCGTGAGTACACTCGCACTGTACCCACACTGTGTACACAACGTGCACGCACTGGGATCGCAGCCACGTGTGCGATGGCCGCTGCGACTGCCTGCGTGCGGAGGACGAGGCGACCGCGCTCTGCTCGCCGCGGCCCTGCGCGCGTGAGTACACTCGCACTGTACCCACACTGTGCACACAACGTGCACGCACTGTGATCGCAGCCACGTGTGCGATGGCCGCTGCGACTGCCTCTGGGCGGAGGACGAGGCGACCGCGCTCTGCTCGCCGCGGCCCTGCGCGCGTGAGTACACTCGCACTGTACCCACACTGTGTACACAACGTGCACGCACTGGGATCGCAGCCACGTGTGCGATGGCCGCTGCGACTGCCTGCGTGCGGAGGACGAGGCGACCGCGCTCTGCTCGCCGCGGCCCTGCGCGCGTGAGTACACTCGCATTGTACCCACACTGTGCACACAACGTGCACGCACTGGGATCGCAGCCACGTGTGCGATGGCCGCTGCGACTGCCTGCGTGCGGAGGACGAGGCGACCGCGCTCTGCTCGCCGCGGCCCTGCGCGCGTGAGTACACTCGCACTGTACCCGCAATGTGCTCGTGACTGCGTGGATAACAGTTTCTTGATCAAAGCTGCTGCTCATCTCGTTTCTTTTTCGCCTCTTCGACTCCTCTTTCGACATTCAAGGAAACATATGTGTTAGAATTTATTCCTACCCCGCCACTACACGGAAACGTTATAGATAACTTTAAAAATGAATGGGAAAATGGAAAATGATTGACGGGTCCGTCGCGCAGTAGCTCAATAATGAGTTGCAACGCTAAAGGCCGCGAGTTCGAATTTCGTACAGAACAGGTATTTGTAATTCATACAAATAATTGTTCCGAGTCTAGATGTTTGTTCACGTGCAATTTATGTATGTAAATTCCCTCATACAGGAGAAAGTAAACCCCATGATACAGGAGAAAATCCTAGTGTGTAAGTAAAGCTTAAAAAAGTCACGTTTTTTATATAGAATAAGGGTGACAAACGCGCACACAGTTCACCTGATAGTGAGTGGATGAAGTGGCCCACTAAGCCCACTAAGTGACTAAGACGGAATGCCTCGTAACCAGTAAAAAAGGGTCATCATATATCTGAACGCTTAATCACTTGACTGGCCGTACGGATTTCATTCATTTTTATAGTATTCTATAGCGTTAACTATCGTTGGCTATCATGTTGGCTAACCCCGCTGTTGGCAATTTTAAGTAACCGTGAACAGCGAGCGCAATGTTGGTTGCAGGTAGCGACAAGCTGAACTGTTCCTCGGGCCGCTGTATCTCGGAGGCTGCGTGCTGCCGTGCGGGCGAGCCACTGTGCCGCCAGCCCGACTGCTGCGACGAGCACCCGCGCTTCTCCAGGCTCGAAGGTACTCTAGTCAACGTCTTCCATGCCGAAACAAGGTCACAGTGGCCATACGACTAGCTGTGCGCAGGACAGGGTTATCGTGTACGAGTGTGTGTGCCAGCACAGCGCAGTCTCTATTTTCTTCCCTTCCTCCCGGATCTCGATTTCGAGCAGACGTGTTTAGTGTTGTTGTCTTTCTTGTTTAAATATAAATTTCATCAATTTAATTAAGTGCAAAAAATAGGAGTGCATAATCTATAAGAGCCTGAAACACCAGGCGCGCCGTGGAAAATTCCGTGCTCGACCCTTAGAGTGACTCACCTGTCAATCATCGCTTAGTACCGCCCCTTTGTTGCGGCCCTCTCTGGCGTACCGGTTAGTGATAACTGTTGCTAAATTACCTGTGCTCCTGGTATCTTACGTCTCACTCGCGGACGAATATTGCAACTGTCGTAATTAAATAAAGTTAATTATTATCACATCTACCGCCTTTTAAAAAAAACATGCCACTAAAGCGTACTCTTCCAAAGGATCTGCAAACATCAAATTGTGAGTCGGATTCAAGCACAAAAGGTTCGACCGAAAATGTCGCTATCGCTAGTAGAAATAAGCGGAAACGGGAACAGGGGGATTGTAGTGATGAACTCAAAGCTTTTAAATCTGAGCTTCTGGCCTTATTTAATTCAAAATTTTCCACTCTTCAGTCTGTTATAAATGATATTAGGGTGCAAAATACCGAAATACGAAAGTCCCAAGATCTTATGTCCGAAAAGTATGATGAAATAATACTCAAAATAGAAAAACTGGAGTCCGAAAGAAATATGAATTTTATCTACATTCAATCACTTGAGGCTAAATTGGAAAATATGGAGAGACACCTCCGGGCAGCCTGTCTGGAAATTAAAAATATTCCGATAAAACAAGGGGAATCAAAGGAAGACTTAGCTAATTATGTAATAAATCTTGCTCGGTTGCTCAAATTATCAATGCAACCTGCAGAAATACGGGATATCTTTCGCACAAGCAATAAAAATAAACAAAACACCTTAATAGTCGAGTTCAGCTCTGTCCTTCAAAAGGAGACTCCTGCAAAGTGTCAAAAAATTTAACAAGGAGAGAAAAGACGATAAATTAAATTCATCACATTTAAAAATTACAGGCACTCCAATACCTATTTTCGTTTCCGAAAACTTAACACAAAAAGGTAAAAAAATTATTCTTCTTGGCCCGAGACTTTGCCAAGACCAACGGTTTTGCTTACTGTTGGACGACGCGTGGTAAGGTCTATTTACGTAAAACTGATGGTGCTAACTATATACGACTAGATGGTGAAGAAGATCTGATGAAGCTGCAACGACAGAAATGACTATACTGTAACATGTTTCGTAACGTAACTTCTACTTTTTTCCTAATTTATATTGTTTTACTTATAATTTTATACCATTTCTATTATTTTTTTAACGAATTTGTAATATTTTATGTAAAAATTAGTAATTTGTTTTCTGTACAAGCACATAATACACAAATTCACTTATGTTACCTACACTCATTCATACATAACTTTCAAATACATACGCAGTCAATACATCATTCAATTATATACATACATTACTTCACATCGAAAATATACACATTTCAAAGTTATCTTATTTACAAAATTGTGACTGAGCACATTTATTTTCATAAACTATTATTGGGCATCTTTTCATACATATACACATTACTTATTTACGTAATGCATAAGCAAAATTTTCATAATTATTACTTAGAAATAGTAAGAAAAAACGTAATAGTGGTTATCCATTACTTCACAGCGTCTTTTAACGTAACAACTTTTACAAATTTTAAGCGCACCCTATTTTGTGATGAATACAGTGGGTATAGTGCTAAATATAGTAAGCCGGCATTTAATCTACTGCTGAATGGTCTTAGTGGTAGTTTCGTAATAAGCCACTCGATGTCTCGCGCTTTTGTATGTATTATAAGTGTTTCATATAATACCGTCATTATTTTAAAACTTTTCTATACTATATATAATTTTTTACGGGATGTTATAAATAGGTTAGCCAGTAGGAGAACATTACTAATATTTTACATAGTCTCATTATGTGATAAGATATATATTAAAAGCCTGTGGTTTATTGGTGTAGGTGTTGCGGTTTTTTGGTGTATTGTCGATTTGGACAAATGTTTTTATATACATTTGAATGATAAATAAATTAGATAAAATAGTAAATGAGTTGGACTCCTATTCGGTTTCTGAATCTGCTCTTTGCGATGTTGAGGACTGTTTCCACTTAGATCCAAGCCCTAGAACGTCCCTTAAAATTTTAAGTCAAAATATCAGGAGTATATCACACAATTTCTCTGAGTTTCTTTTATTAATTGTGAGAACGAAAGTGCACTGGGATGTTATTATCTTAACTGAGTGTTGGCTGCAAAGTGTTCGCACACTCCCTGTTATTAACGGTTATAAGACATTTAGTACAGAAAACAACTACACACAAAATGATGGCGTTGTCGCATATATAAACAGTGATCTTAATGCATCGTTTGAAGAAATTTGCTTCCGAAACGCAAATTGTCTTCTTTTAAAGATAAATAAAGATATTGTTATTTTAGCTTTATATCGTTCTCCGGCGGTTAGAGATTGTAATGAATTCGTAAATTCACTAGATTCTTTGCTTGTAAAAACAGCGAATGTTAATAATGTTGTTCTTGTAGGAGATATTAACATCAATATTATTGACTCTCAACAAGACCTACATAAGCTTAACTACTTAAATGTGACTGCTTTACACGGCTTGTTACCTGCTCATACTTTTCCTACCCGTAAAGATAGCTGCCTAGATCATGTTATGCTAAAAACCAAACTACCAGCTAAAACTCTTGTTGTAAATTCTGCGTTAACTGATCATGAGACTGTAGCATTTTTTCTCGATAAGAAGATCCCAAAACAACACAAAATGACGACAATATTTCGTACAAATTATAGTGGAATTACAACTGATCTTGCTAAAATGAATTTTGATTTAGTTTACTCTACACAAAATCCGAATATTGCCGCTAATTGTCTTGTCCAGTCCTTACAAAAAGTCTTAGACGCTAATACTAAGAAGATTGTTTTATCTAGTCGTAAAAAGATTATAAAGCCGTGGATTACTCCAGGACTCTTACGTTGTATGAAGCATAGGGATAATTTACATAAAAAAATTAAAAAAGAGCCGGAAAATGAAGTACTTAAGTTATCTTTTACGAGATATAGAAATTATTGCAACAAACTTCTAAAAAAGGTCAAGAATGAATATGAAAGAAATCAAATTAGAAATGCAGGTGCAAATAATAAAAAGCTTTGGGAGGTAATAAAGAGCATAACCAACAGAAATGCCGCAAAAACATCTTCCACTCAACTATTATCAACATGTACCACGCAGAAAGAATCAGTTAATAATGTCAACACGTATTTCGCTAATATTGGTAGACAACTGGCCGAAAAAATTCTTGAGAACTCTGAATTGAATCTTTCTCCTACTATTGATAGCTTAGCCCATTCCATGGTTCTTTTGCCTACTGATGAAGCTGAAATTACATCTGAAATAAATAATCTTAGAAGTGACTGTGCCGTTGGCTGGGATAAAATATCCGGTGGCTTCATAAAACAAAACAAAAAATTTATTGTACCTCCACTTACCTACGTATGTAACCTGGCCCTCACTTATGGCATATTCCCAACAGCTTTTAAAAAATCCCTCATTCATCCTGTTTACAAAAATGGAGACCGAGACTGTGTAAGTAACTATAGACCAATATCTATAATACCTTCACTATCTAAAATACTAGAACGTGTGATGAATAATATGTTGAAAAATTTTCTTGATAAAAATTCCATACTTTCGCCAAATCAATTTGGTTTTCGTTCCGGTAAATCTACAGCTGATGCGGTTCATGAACTAATTGAGTTTATCGTACTTAGCCTCGAGAAAAAAAAGAAAACAATAGGAATATTTTTAGATTTGGCTAAAGCTTTTGACACGGTCTCTGTTCCCATATTGTTGCATAAAATGGAGAAGCTTGGTATAAGGGGTGTACCGTTGCAGCTTTTCAGAGATTATCTTACAGATAGAACACAGTTGGTAAAAATTGATAAACATGTTAGCGATGAGCTTCCCATCTGCTATGGTGTTCCCCAAGGAAGTATTCTTGGCCCTACCTTATTTCTTCTTTACATTAATGACCTCTGCAAACTGAAACTAGTGAACGGAAAAATAGTTACGTTTGCTGATGACACAGCACTGCTATTTACTGGTGATTCATGGCCAGATGTATTTAACTTCGCTCAGATTGGCTTAAACAGAGTGTCCAAATGGCTACGCGATAATGTGTTAACCCTCAACGTGGATAAAACAAAGTACTTGTCCTTCTCCAAACATAATAATAAATATGCAACCTGCACGGACCGTGTTATTACTGCTCATTCTTGCAATTTTCCTTATTGTCTGACATGTTCATGCACACCTTTGCAAAAAGTGAATTCAATTAAATACCTTGGCATTTTGTTGGATGATAAGCTAACTTTCCATGAGCATATTTATTCACTTTCAAATAGGATACGGAAATTAACATATATTTTTAAAAAACTCCGTTGCGTAGCAGATTCTAACACTATTAAATCTGTCTATTTTGCTCTATGTCAATCTTTAATAATATATTGTATTACGTGCTGGGGTGGGGCTACCAAATCATCTCTTCTACCCCTCGAAAGATCACAAAGGTTAATCTTAAAAGTAAGTAACTCTCTTCCATTTAAATTTCCAACCAGTCAACTTTATAAAATTTCCAAAGTTCTTACAGTCCGGCAACTGTTTATTATATACACAGTACTAAAAAAACATGCACAATTAAAATATGACCAAAAAAAATACACAGCACACGAGACGCAAAGACCGAGTGTGTACTTCTCATTATGACCATTGTACCTACTTTTCCAGAAGATTTTTTTGCTATCTTGGCGGATACCTGTATAATAAAGTTAACAAGGAACTTAATATTCACTTCCTACCTAAAATAAAAGCTAAAAAAATGTATCCATGAATGGTTACTGAAGACGGACTATAAATATACGGAAGATATTTTTTAAATCACATGTGTAAATGTTGTAATTTTTGCATTCACTCAGCACACGCACACGCACACGCATACACACACACACACACACACACATACACACACACACGTAGCATTATTGTTAAATTATGTATATACGCGCAAATGTATTATAACGTATCATTTTATTATTAAAATATGTATTCCAAGATTACATACTTTTGTATTTGTCAACTGGGTGGAGACCTGATGACCTGAAATACAGGTTCGTCGCCTAGTTTAGGCATCAGTCTCTCACATTAATTTGTGCCTTTTTTTTTGTTAAAATTCGATATTGTTAATTTAATGTGGAGAGAAAAATAAATTATTATTATTATATTATTATTATTATATTTTCTCCCTCTCATAGTCCGATGAGACGCCAAAAAACAGCTTAATAATGCTGTGTTTCGTATGATGAGTGTAAACAGCTGGGGGACAATTTTTACTGGAAACGAGTGACAATTCATCTGCAATTTGTTTCTTAATAGAGGATAAATGCAGATGTCTATGGAGCCACAGCATACACTTACGTGCACATTACGAGCACACAGTCCACCTGGAATTGTGTGCTCGTTTGTCACTCTCATTCTGTTTAAAAATCGACCATTTGCTGACAAACATTTTAGGATTATGGTATTACAACATCACAATGTTTTGCATATTGACTGCAAGCGTTGTAGCCAATGCCACAAACTTAGTTCGCTATATATTATTTGCACTATGAATGTTATTACCTAGGATGGTTAATCTATTGTGTTTTAATAAAGTCACAGAAACAAAATTCCTGTTTTTACAAGAAATCAATAGAGTAAACGGTCTTAATACTTTTTAATGAATTATAAAAATCTAAATGGAGTAAACAGTCTTGATACTTTTTTAATGACGGTTAGGTATGATTAACACCTATTGTTTTATTATTTCGCACATTGGAGCAGCGCGGCGGACACTTTCTTGCCCTAAAACCCTCTCAGAAATGAGAGGAGGCCTGTGCCCAGCAGTGGAACGTATATAGGATGTAACTTTAACATACCAATGTGAAGGTAGTTCTAAATAAAATGATTGGGTATATAAGTAATTATTTTTCAATTCGCTACTGTGATCTAGAGCACAGTACATGTGTATAAAAATGTTTCGGTAAAATGGTTCTGCGGTTAAAACAGGAGTAACAATCCGCCAGTGGTCAAGTTCCCTCCAAAACTTCAAATAAAGTCTTATATGGCAAGAATTGATAAAAAGCAGCTTTTTACACAAAGCGATGCGATCTTAGTCGTCAAGGGTTGACAACGGATCTGCATTTTGATTCTTAAACCAGGATAGATCTATGAGCCACAGCATCCACTTACCGTGTGCCGTGTGCTCGTTTGTCTCATATCCTTTTCTAAAAAAGGTCGATATTGCGACGCGCTTTTATAATATTTATTAACTCTAGCTGAACAGACTTAGGGATAAATACAACATCGAGTCTGTACCGTTAACATGCACAGCACCAATAACGAAAACATTATATCATTCAGTTAATTGGATAAAATAACATTTAGAACCAGTGGACCGCTCTGGCTTTGCCTGGGTGGGATCTAATAATGTGGCGTTATTTAGACTGTGATAATCATTAAAAACTATTAATTTTATCGTATTAATATTTCTATTGCCATTAAGTCTCTAAATTTTTCGAATAAAATTTTGTCTAGATCACCGTAATACTTTCTATTCGTTCGTGAAGTTTTATTACAATCGGTTCCGCTATTCCGAAGGTCGGACAGATAGACAAACTAAATTTTTAAAAATGGTTACTCATGTCGTAATAGCATGTAAATATTTCTTACAAAAATATTAACTAACAATATCAACAATAATTAAGAAGAAAATTCTCAGAACGCGTCGTAGCTCACAAATTATCAAAATCGGACTGAATTTATTTTTGTAGTTTATGGCGTTTTGTTATCATTGATTCCAATGACAAGTTTGACTAAAGTTATAGAATGTACAAAAACAAGGTTTTTTTCCCAGTCTTTAACGGCGGGTGTGAGTATATAGAGACTGTGCGAGCGAGAGGTGAATAGAGGCGACGCCATTTTCAATCCCATTCTTTAACCGCACGGGTAGTATAATGCTGTCAAATGTGCAATTGAACTTGGAGAGCTTACATGTTGATTGGTGAGCACAGGCGATACCCTCGTTCTGATGAACCAGCTCCCCACAACCGGTCTGTAGAATTTGCCATTTATCGGTCGCTAGAGCTTCATTTAATAACACGATGCACTGCGTGCAAGTAACTTGACACTTGAAGAGGAAGTTGAGAAATCCTGTTTGCACTGTAAACTGCAGGTCGTTTAACTAAAAAACCTTGATCATTCTATTACAACTATGATATTGGGACGTTGAACACCTAAAGTGACCATGGATTGTTATATTAGAAAAGGTGTCAATGAGGAAGGCGTGTTGATCTGTCTCTGACTTTAATTACACTGCTCTTTTACTCTAAACTTAACACTAATATATATTATCGTAGGGGCTACACTACTGTAAATAACTTAGAACGTCGGGAATATAAAATTAGTTAATAAAAAAAAATGGTTGACACTGCAGGCCATCCCTGGAACTTCCCGCTAATTTCAAATGCAAAGCGCTGCCCCAAACCACATTTCAATCGATGTAGACGTTCAATAGTTATGAAAGGTTTACATACTTACATACATACGTACATACATCCGTACGGACGTCCACGTGAAATTAGTCAGAATAGTTTCCTGGGATCCCAAAACGTCGAGATCTGATGAAAACTCGATTTTCGAAAATCGGGGTGTAACCAATAACTTCCCTATTTTTAAAAATTTTCAATTGTCTTAGCGGGAAATTAAAAATTCTTTGTTTTTTTAAACCACAGGGAATCTGAAGTATGTGGTGACAGCGTTACTTTTGGCCTTTATTAGAAACCTAAATAATTAAAAAATCACTTGCCAAGCGTGACAATGAAGGTAAATCCTATATGACTTTACATGGTGATGAAGATAAAGAATATCTAGAAACAAGCTAATTTTCTTTGTTTGTTTGCAGGCTATGTGGAGATGGAGTACCCGCCACTGTTCGAGGATCGTCACGCACCTGACGACTACGGCTTCATACAGTCCACAATCTACACTGTCACCGGTCAGCAAGACAACACTTTTATTTGTATTTACTTCTTTTTACTTTTTTCAATACTTGAAATTTTTAACACATACTCTCAGATGAAGTGAAAAAAGGTAGATATTGCAGCTAGAATAAGAAACTGTAACAATTTTTATAACTATGTGTGAGTCAGAGAAGTGTTGTCACTTTTTAAGAGTGACAACACTTCTCTTACTCACACATGTGACTTAAAAAGGCCCTGAAAATTTAATTCTACATATATAAGAATAATATGTGATGCGAATGCGAAAGTAAATCTGTCTGTTTTAATAAATTTCAACAATTTGACAATTCAAAATGAGATGATGAACGAACGTAGGAGGCGTCAGTAGATCATTTAAAAGTCTTCTTGGTAAATCGTCCAGTGAGCGTGTAAACATCGAGAAAAAATACAATATTTATGATGTAAAACATGTTAGTTACAAAAAAAATTAATGCTAAGAAATTCGTAAAAAAATAATTGGATAAAAATAAATTTCCATGGAATTATTTCATTATTATAAAACTAAAACATACTTTCCTAGATGGGACACAAAATAAAACACTGACTATTGTAACAGACATAAGGGATAAATTGTTAACTTATTATACAGTGTTTTTTTGAAACGCTCCCAAAAACGAAGACAGACGATAGTATTAGGGGATACCTTTGATGGTGAGACAAAAAGAAAATCGATCCCGATAAAAAAAAACAACATTTTATTTACAAGCAATTTTTTTAATTAGCTTTAGTTAGTACCGCTAAATGAAACGGTAATTTCATTAAAAAAAAATCATGAAAATACCTAAACATAAAACCAGCAGTGAAACTTCCATACCTGAAATCAGCTGATAAAGGGTCATAAACGCGCGACGCCGACCGAACGCCGGCACGCAGCCCACGATCGTACCAGTCCTAATAATTTACAACACTTGTCTAAATACCTAACTTATCTACTTAACCTACTGTTTTGCCACTGTGCTAGTCTCCACCTAGCAACTTTAATTCGGATTCACAGGTTAAATAAATCAAATACCTGGTTCGATTCCACACTGATGATGAATTTACTTAAATGAAATTGTAATAAGGATAGTCATGCTTTTTTATCCATCGTGTTACCTATACAACACACTAATGTTTATTATTCTGATAAATTCAGTTACGTACCTATTTATATCAGTTCAGAACTAAATTATTAAAAAAAAAACAGGTACGAGGGTGGATTGAAAAGTACTCGGCCTAACACAGATCCATTCAATTCTAAAAATCAAATCTACCCACATTATTTAGTTCAGTTCAGACTAGTTCATTGTGTGAAGTTCGAAACGTGTGCGATAATTAGTTGTGATTTTATAAATTTATTAACAAAGTAATCGGACATAATTTCCGCGAATGGAGCAAATCGAGCAGCGTGCCGTCATTAAGTACCTCCATAAGGAGGGGCTATCATCAAAAGCCATCCATGATGACATGGTCAGTACATTAGGCGATTGTGCTCTGTCATATTCATCCGTCAAAAATGGATAGCAGAATTTAAGCGTGGTAGAGAGAGTGTGAAAGATGAACCCCGCTCTGGAAGGCCTTCGACGTCAACTACTGACGAAAATATTAAAGAAGTACTTGATTTAATAATGGGAGACCGCAGATTAAAAATTAGAGAGATAGCCGAGATTATAGGCATCTCTTATGAACGAACTCAAAACATCATTGTCAACGAGTTGGGTTTCCACAAGGTGTCTGCGAGGTGGGTTCCGTGACTGCTTTCAGTTGAACAAAAAAGGACGCGATTGACTATTTCACGCGACTGTTTGGAGTTATTTGAAGCCGATGCAGATGATTTTTTGAATCGTTTTGTTACTATGGACGAAACATGGGTTCATTACTGTACACCGGAAACAAAACAACAATCAAAACAGTGGAGAAGACCTGGTTCACCACCCCCTAAAAAGGCTAAGTCGATTTTGTCGGCAAATAAGGTGATGGCTTCAGTATTCTGGGACTCGAAAGGTGTGATTATGATTGATTATCTTGAAAGGGGTCAGACTATAAACTCTGATTACTACTGCACCTTACTACGTCGTTTACGAGAGGAAATAAAAGAAAAACGTCGAGGAATGCTCAGAAGAAAAGTCCTGTTTCATCAAGATAACGCCCGTGTTCACACGTCAGTACAGTCAATGGCTGAAATTCACAACTGTGGCTTTGAACTGTTACCGCATCCGCCGTATTCACCTGATCTGGCACCATCAGACTTCTTTCTGCTCCCTAACCTAAAAAAGCACTTGGGAGGTCAAAGATTTTCGACAAACGACGAGGTCAAAGCAGCTGTAGACGCATATTTTGACTCTAAGGAAGAATCATTTTTTTTCAACGGTCTAAATGCTTGGAAGGGGAGGTGGCAAAAGTGTATTGAACTTGATGGTGATTATGTAGAAAAATAAAAATATAACTGATTTAGTATGTGTTTATTTTCTTGGTTAGGCCGAGTACTTTTCAATCCACCCTTGTATTAAAAAGCTTAACGATCTAAATCCTACGTGGCCTTATGAGATGCGGCTCAAATTGTGCCCCATTCATTTCGAGGCTTGGGCTCGGCGTTGCGTCTCCTTATGCAGGCGGGACATCATCGTGGGGTCTTCTACACAGTCCGAACGTAGTTTTCGAAAATATTCACGATCCTTTGGCGCATTTCGTCAGCACTATCACACTCACGATTAAAAACCCTTTCTTTCATATAAACCCACAGAAAGAAGTCTAACGAGGTGAGATCTAGTGAGCGAGGGTACCAAGCGTGTGGTCCTAGTCTGCCGATCCAGCGATCATGAAATAGCTCGGCGAGTCGCCGACGGATGAACCTCACAACATGTGGAGGTGCACCATCATGCTGGAACCATGTGCGGCGATATTTAGCCACCTATATATAGGTCGTCCAAAATGTCAACCAAGTCCGGAAAAATCGCCGGTGCTAAAAAATTGAACAGATAAGTTTTACGAGGAAGAATACTCCTAGTAAAACACACAGTGCTAGACCGCTGAGCATCCAGATGGTGAGGATGGTATCGTAAAATTTGACGCGATGTGCGTTCGTGAAATTTGGCGGCTGGAACTAATTCGATACAATAGAAAACGCAACGCTAGTGAATCTAGCCGATCTGAAAGAACTCTGTCGTCGACGTTTCGAATCGCTCTGCGCTGGATGCGGTCAAGTGGAAGGAACTGGCACTGGGGTGCCCCGGCCCAGAGATGAAAACAGTATTCTATGTGAGGCCAAACTTGCGCTCTGTAAAGTTGCAAGCGATGTGCCGGCATGAAATACTGTCTCGGCCTTTTAGAGGCCAATTTGGCCTTCCCCTTCAAGTGACCACGAAACTGCACACTATTCGATATTTCAACGCCGAGGATTCTGATGCTAGCTGAGGCAGCAAGAGGGGTGCCTTCAAACTGAGGAGATACTACAAAGCGGTTCTATTTAGTGGTTAACGCGCAAACTTGTCTTCTTTGGAATGAATTGGACTAGATTTAGCCGCCCCCAATCCGAGACTTTGTTAAGCAAAGACTCGACTTCAGACACAAGTTTGTCCCGGCACTTGGCGGCGTTTTCCGGAAAAATATTAGCACGGCCGGTGTATAAGGCATCATTAGTGCTGTCGTCTGCATAACAATGAATGTTACCAGTTTGCAACATATCATTGATATGCAGAAGAAACAGCGTTGGTAATAGCACGCAGCCTTGTGGAACACCTGCCTCAATAGCCGGCGCCGTCTACTACGACCTTGATTCTCCGATTAACAAGAAAACTAGTGATCCAATCGCACAATTTCTCGGGAAGTCCATAGGAAGGGTACTTCGAAAGAAGTACTATGTGCCAGACCCAATCGAAGGCCTTCGCTATGTCCAAATTAACGGTCAATCCCTCCCCTTTGGACTCTACTGCCGCCGCCCATCTATCTATGAGTCAGATAGACCAGAACATCATCAGCTGATCGATCGCGACGGAAACTGTATTGGCGGTCACTAATCAGCTGGTGATCCTCAAGATACCTCATGAGCTGGCAGTTACAATGGACTCTATTATTTTGGAGAACAAGGAGGTGATGGCGATAGGCCTGTAGTTGGACGGGTCTGAGCGGTCGCCTTTTTTAGGACCAAAGCTGTATTCCAAAAATTTGGGACTACGCCTTGGGTGTAGGAGTACCGGAAAAGACGCGTTAAAACCGGTGCCAACTCCGGAGCTCACGTCTTCAGCACAATGGGAGGGACTCCATCAGGCCCACTCGACTTGCTGACGTCCAGGGAGAGGAGTGCTTTGCGAACCGAGCGCTGTGTAAACAGCACATCCGGTGTTGAACACTCACACTGCGGGATGGTCGGCGGTGTGTTCCTTCCGTCATCGAGAGTCGAGGTGGCAAAAAGAAAGCCTAACAAATCGGCTTTCTCCTTTGAGGTTTGGGCCAGTGAGTCGTCCTCTCTGTGCAGAGATGGAAGAGATGACTAACAGAAGTTCCTTTGGAGAGTCTTGGCGAGAGACCAATTCTTCACGCCAATTCTGCCGATGTGCTCAGACCTTGCCGTGGCAATGACTCTTTTGAAGGACATGGACGGACGTTGAATCATACTTCTTTTTAAGATCACTGGTGTTTACATCCCGAGACGTTGATGCGTCAGCCTAGGTGCGGTAGCAATCTTGTTTATAGCGTGATTCTATTTTACAGGAGCGACTAAACCATGGCAGGGATCTGCCTCCGATGGGCACCACAGAGGATGGAAAAAAAAGTCAATACCCGGAAGTACCACATCAGTGACAGAATTAGCAACAACGCTGGGATCTTCCAGCAAGAAACAGGAGAAGGATGCAAAAAAAAAGACCGCATCCCTATCCCAATCGGATCACCTATAGTGCCAAACACGGCGACAGGCAATAGAAACATCAGCGAATTAAATAATTAAATATTTACTTCGACTTAAATTTGATTTAACATAATAACACGTAAATAAAAAAAATATATTGAATAAATTTCTATAACTTAACCTAAAATTAATTACCCAAATTTTGGACATTAGAAATAAGAAATACTGGCAACATTCTCCCATTACGTAGTCTCGCAACATTGACATTCGTGCTTCGAATAATCCTTAAAATTGTGTTGGAATGACAAAATAAAATATAGTTAAATGAGTGTTTGAGTTGTAATGAGTGAGTGTTACGTGTGAAACGATATCGCTTCAGACTTCTTGTTTACTTCAGTATTGTTGTTGCACCTTTTAATTACACAAGACGGCATTTTGTAGGCAAATTTACTGCACGACGCCCCGGGAAGTTTTGACGAAAATGAGCGTAGTTTGATGCATGTATGTGCGTAAACTCGTGTGTTTATTTAAGGGAGCGGAATTTTTTGGCTTTACAAATAACAAAGGCCGCGCTATCTACCTATCTACCTTTTTTACTTCATCTGAGTACATACTATATGAAATTAATGTGACTATGTTGTAATACTTTTCAGGTATACGAGCTTATCGTATACATATGTATAATGTATATTAGTATTATTTTGTGTAATTAGTTCACGCTTTTGCATTGATTTTCGTTGCTACAGCAGATCCCCTCCGCAGAGATCGTGATCCTCGGCGACTTTAACGCCCATCACGCCGAATGGCTCGGTTCACGTTTAACCGATCATGCGGGGAGATCTGTTCATGATTTTGCTTTGGCATATGGTCTGACACAACTGGTTACTTCGCCTACGCGGATTCCAGATGTGGAGGATCATGCACCTTCCCTGTTGGACCTTCTGCTGACCTCTCACCCGGACGGATATCAGATTTCCGTCGACGCCCCTTTAGGCTCCTCGGACCATTGTCTTGTCCGGAGTGTCGTGCCACTCACGCTGAAATCGCGGTTGCATTCTGCAGGCTGCCGCCGTGTTTGGCACTATAGGTCAGCCGATTGGGATGGGATGCGGTCTTTCTTTGCATCCTACCCTTGGGGGCGGGTTTGCTTCTCGCCGGACGATCCCAACGTTGTTGCGGATTCTGTCGCTGATGTGGTACTTCAGGGTATGGAACTTTTATTCCTTCCTCTGTGGTGCCCATTGGAGGCAAATCTCAGCCATGGTTTGGTCGCTCCTGTAAAATAGCATCATGCTATAAGCAGGAGTGCTACCGAGCCTGGGCTGACGCATCAGCGTCCAGGGATGTAAACACCAGCGCTCTAAAAAAGAAGTATAATTCCGCCTCTAGGTCCTTCAAAAGAGTCATTGCCAAGGCAAAGTCAGAGCACATAGGCAGAATTGGCGAGAGACTAGTTCGTCTTCCTTCTGGAACCCGTGCATTCTGGTCTCTCGCCAAGGCTGTCCAGGGGAATTTCTGTCAGCCATCTCTTCCATCTCTGCACAGGGAGGACGACTCACTGGCCCACACCGCAAAGGAGAAAGCCGATCTTCTAGGCTCTTTCTTTGCGTCTAACTCGACTATCGATGACGGGGGGAGTACGCCGCCGACCATCCCGCGGTGTGAGTGCTCCATGCCGGAAGTGCAGTTCACTCAGCGCTCGGTTCGCAAAGCACTCCTCTCCCTGGACATCCATAAGTCGAGTGGGCCTGATGGAATCCCCCCAATTGTGCTGAGGACGTGTGCTCCAGAGTTGGCACCGGTTTTAACGCGTCTTTTCCGGTACTCCTACTCCCTAGGCGTAGTCCCAAAATCATGGAAGACGGCTTTCGTCCACCCGATCCCTAAAAAAAGGGACCGCTCAGACCCGTCCAACTACCGGCCTATCGCCATCACCTCCTTGTTCTCCAAAACAATGGAGTCCATTGTAAACTGCCAGCTCATGAGGTACCTTGAGGATCACCAGCTGATTAGTGACCGCCAATACGGTTTTCGCCGTGGTAGGTCAGCTGGTGATCTTCTGGTCTACCTAACTCACAGATGGGCGGAGGCAGTAGAGTCCAAGGGGGAGCCATTGGCCGTTAGTTTGGACATTGCGAAGGCCTTCGATCGGGTTTGGCACAAAGCGCTTCTTTCGAAGCTCCCTTCCTATGGGCTTCCCGAGAAATTGTGCGATTGGATCACCAGTTTTCTTCCAGATCGGAGCATCAAGATCGTTGTAGACGGTGCAAGCTCCGATTGCAAGCTTATTAATGCTGGTGTTCCACAGGGCTGCGTGCTATCGCCAACGCTGTTTCTTCTGCATATCAATGATATGTTGCAAACCCGTAGCATTCATTGCTATGCAGATGACAGCACTGGTGATGCTCTTTACACCGGCCGAGCTAATATTTCTCGGGAAAACGTCTCTGAGTGCCGGGACAAACTTGTGTCTGAAGTCGAGTCTCTGCTGGACAGTCTCGGATTGGGGGCGACTAAATCTAGTCCAGTTTAACCCCCAGAAGACACAAGTTTGCGCGTTAACCGCTAAAAAGAACCCCTTTGTCGTATCCCCTCAGTTTCAAGGCACTCCCCTTGTTGCCTCAGCCAGTATCGGAATCCTCGGCGTCGACATATCGAGTGACGTGCAGTTTCGTAGTCACTTGGAAGGGAAGGCCAAATTGGCCTCTAAAAAGCTTGGCGTGCTCAGCAGAGCGGGACAGTATTTCATGCCGGCACACCGCCTGCAACTTTACAAGGCGCAGGTTCGGCCGCTCATGGAATACTGTTCCCATCTCTGGGCTGGGGCTCCCCAGTACCAGCTCCTTCCACTTGACCGCATCCAGCGCAGAGCGGCTCGAATCGTCGACGACCGAGTGCTTTCCGATCGGCTCGATTCACTGGCGCTGCGAAGAGATGTTGCATCTCTTTGCGTATTTTATCGCATCTATCACGGGGAGTGCTCTGAGGAATTGTTCGGATTAATCCCAGCCGCCAAATTTCGTGAACGCACTACACGGCAAACGTCCCGATACCATCCGCACCATCTGGATGCTTGGCGGTCCACCACTGTACGTTTCAAAAGGAGTTTTCTTCCGCGTACAACCTCTCTGTGGAATAATTTACCACCTGTGATTTTTCCGGACCGATACGACCTGGGGACCTTCAAGAAAAGAGCTTACTCCTTTCTAAAGGGCCGGCAGTAAAGTAAAGTAAAGTAAAGTTACAGCCTATATACGTCCCACTGCTGGGCACAGGCCTCCCCCCTCATTTCTGAGGGGGGTTTTAGGGCAAGGAAGTGTCCGCCGCGCTGCCCCAATGCGTGTTGGCGAACTTCACATGTCTTCGAAATATTTTTTTTTCTTATTCCTCAGACATGCAGGTTTCCTCACGATGTTTTCCTTCACCGCCGAGCACGTGGTAAATCAGCACTTAAAATTGCAAGTAACAATTTCATTGGTGCCAGCGGGGCTCGAACCCGGGTTACTCGCGTTCTGTTATATTTACAGCGAGCGTTAACCATCTGAGCTACCACGGCTCGGCGGCAACGCACCTGCAATTCCCCTGGTGTTGCGGTTGATTATGGGCGGCGGTAGTCACTTAACATCAGGTGAGCCACATGCTCGTTTGCCCCCTCTTCTATAAAAAAAAAAATATACGCTTATAAATATTATCATATGATCAAATAATAAATCAGTGTATTTTCAGCACTAGCGCGGTCAGTATTGTTTAATAACAAAGCATTTACTATTCATATCAATAAGCATTAATTATTATAGTGTAAGGGAAATACCCTGATTTTTTGGTCCTTCGAGCCTTTGAAGTAGTTATTCAGACATTTTTGATCCATCGAGCCGGATGATCTATATAGCATATTATTCATAATATTCTGATGATGATTGGTGATAGATTTATTCTGATAGTGTGTGCCTATAGGCCACAGCATTAGCATTTTATAAGGGTCCTTGGTGATATTTAAATAAAACGAAATTAAATATGAATGTTATTTTCGACTTCCTACTGCTGTGACATTTAAAAAGAATGAAAAGTTTTCAAATTGCAGCTTTATGCTGGCAGTTACTTTACTAGATGGAGTCCAGACGACGCATTCAGTTGATGAATGCAGTTGTTCATAAGTTGATTTGTAAAGGCTGTAACAATGATAATGATTCTGTATTGCAAATATTACTTTAAAATTATATTTCTTAAGATTTTTGTCTTTTAAACGCATTAAACGACTATCTTCTGATGTGAAGTCGATTATGTTGTGGAAAGGTTCGTTCTGTAATAATATTTTATATTGGCAGCGTGCGCGCTGATCTTCATGATCGCGGTGGTGCTTCTGGTGTCGGCCATCTGCAAGATGCATATGAAGCGAGCGGCGCTGAGAGGATACGCGCATGCAGAGCGTGCCACCGCACACCACTACTCCGCGCACTACGCACAGGTACTCTCTTGCATCAACTGCACATCTGTACATCTGCAAGATGCATATGAAGCGAATGGCGCTGAGAGGATACGCGCACGCAGAGCGCGCCACCGCGCACCACTACTTGCGCTCTGCACACACGTACTCGCCTGTACCAACTGCACATCTGCCAGATGCACATTTTTTTATAATGATGACTGTGAAGAATAACGGTGACAAATGAGCATAAGTCCAACTGATGGTAAGTGGATGCTGCGGTCAATACACAGCTATATCTACCCGTAGGCCTTGAAGACTAAAATAAAATGTCTCGTTTCCAGTTAAAAGGGTATACGATTTTCTACCCTCACCATACGAAATACAGCAGCATTAAGCTGCTATATTACGCTGGTATTCTGTGGAGCTTTCCTAGTCACGCCGACACATTCGTGCTGCGACATTCATTAACATATTATGAAATTGATCTGTCAATAAATACTACTAATTGAAAGTAAAATTTCAATACTAAAATATAAAAACAATAATTTTGAACGAAATAAATAAATTAATCAATAACTATCGAAGTTCAAATCATACTCTACTTTACGAGCGGCAATAAAACAATGAATTCGTAACGCACTCGCCGCGCCGTAGCTCTGCGATAGAACAAGGACAAAGGTCCTTGTCCTTTCGCAGGGTCGCAGGCGCAGGGCCGTTCCCCGCCTGTGCTCTCATTAGTCTCATTTCAGTCACCTGTAATTAGCTAAAGTCCAGTCGAGGAGCAGGAAGAATTTCGTACAATGACTTCTTTGCCTACTCACAATGGTCACAAACTTGTGTATTAAGTGCGGTTTATATGAAATATTTGAAAGAGGAAAAAAAAATAAACGTACTAACTTATTAAATAAATTAATGTTATTATATAAATTATTTAGTACCCGGTTGACCGAGCTTTGCTCGGGATTTTTCGCTCGTTTTTAATCGTTGTTGGACGATTTGATGAAATACGAATAATATTTTTTGATCTTAGCGACATAATGAAAAAAAACTGAACTAGTTATTTGAATAAAAAATCATGAGTGCAATTAGTTTAATTTAAATTTTCGTGTTTTTAAAAAATACTAAAAAAAGGCTCGAAAAACTAGATTTTCTCAAAAAAGAAAGGAACTTGAAAAAAAAAATTAAAAAAGTCGGTCGGTCGGTCTGGGCTCGAACCATGGTATTACGATTTTGTGACCGCCCAATATACCAATTACGCTATTTGTAATCATTAACAAACTGTCAAAATTTACCTTCTTATTCTAACGATATTGTAGCAGTTTTTCATTGCCTAAAAACACGGACAAAAAGACATTTTATAAAAATAAATCCTAGCTAGATCGATTTATTGCCTCCGAAATTCCCTGAACACAAAATTTTATGAAAATCGTTGGAGCCGTTTCCGAGATTCCGATTATATATATATATACAAGAATTGCTCGTTTAAAGGTATATAAATTATTTATTTGGATTATGGTATATAAACAGTTATAAAAATCGAGTTACAATTACTAATTTGGAAGAAATAAAAAAAAAAATTAAATTCAAAAATCAGATTTCGATTTCTCTGTAGGAGTTGCTGCTTTCCGACGACGTCTTTATTACATATTAAAGTTTTTATTTTATGTCGATTTTCTTTTTTTCTAGCCATTTTTTTGCTGAAATGTTGCCTAAAGCCTCCTGGAGCAGCTTCAACATCTGTCATCTTAATTCGCAGTGGTAATCTCAATACGTCCACACCAACTGCTTTTACCATCTCATCGACCACCTACGATTGTTACTGAGTTTTGACATCTTTCACCTTTTCCAATAGCTGAACTTTTGTTTACTTTGCCTTAAAAGAAACTTGCTTTGATGAAAGTCATTCTTGGATGTATGTTTTTTTCCAACTAGTAACTGGGATTTTCTCCTGGTGTCTTGAGTAGTAGCTGGCATTATCTATGACAAGCACTGCGTTTGGCTCAAGTCTCGGTAGCATTGCTTGAAACCACAGAAATCGTAATAATAAGATAATAGGAGTAGCATAGACTCGTGACCTTGTCACCGCTATGATGTGTTGACGATTATCATTCACCATTTTGTGATTTAGTTGCGCGGGGATCGTTGTACGTGAATTTATGTTATGAATGGTGAACTGCAGCATAATCAGTTGTAAAAACTCATCAAGGATTTGTAATTCAACTAATAAAGGCATAGCATTTCATAGGTATGTTGATTATTTACTAATTTTAATTGTTTTAACTAATTTACATTTAGATGAATACTTTACTATGATATTTCCATATCTTTGTAAACTCTCAATTATTTTTCGTATTTACAATTATTATTTTGTTCTACCGTAATACGCGACGTTGACAAACTTCGCCAAGCAATGTAATGTGAAACATTAGATATCATTGTGCATTGCGTATGTTTATAATACGGCTGCAGGCATAGTTCGCTTAATGTGTATGTTTTAAGATGTGGTGACATCGGTTTTGGAAATAATCGAGTGCTAATTCATTTCTATTGTCAAATTATTACTATTTCTTCGATTTAACATTATTCATCTCTAGACATGCCAAACTGTAAGCTATCACCCGCACCATGCTATAACGCAAATACTATAGTCGTTCCGTAATCTAGACTAAACGCTAGACATTGTCTGCCGTTTTAGTCAGCGTATCGTAAACGTCATTCCGGATGAACGTCAGTAATCTACATTCGTAAATGGCGCCGTATCAAAAAACACTTAGCGCTGCAAGCATTACGAAGGCAAGTATTGTAGCTAGGTCTTTTTAATACATCTGATTTTAAATGTTTGCTGCAACGATGTGCCTACTCCAACTCGGCCGCCTGGTGCCTACATAACGATGATATTCATGGGATCGGTAGGCATTTTCCTAACGTAAGAAATATGTATGCGTCTCGCTCGCGCTTACAACTTTCATTCACTAGCGATTGTAGATTGTAATAATATATCACTTATTTTCAGTTTTACGCAAATGCTGTAGGCTGAATTGTTTTTATGTATTTTTTTGGATATTCGTAAATTTTGCCTATCAGTTTTATTTTGTTATTTTACAAACACTTTCGAGGATAACTTTATTTCTGTCGTCCTCAACAGACGCTGTGTGACCTTGGTATTTTGTAAGTGTTTTAAAATTTCTATTACAGTTTGCTTCGAAATAACTACATCCTCACTAGTGTTGGATGCATTTTTCAGGGATCGAGTTACATTATGAAGTATAGTACCTTAGTGTCCTCCTTCTCTCTTACAAAATAATTGTCTACTTTAATTATAATTTTACGAGCACGGCTATAAATTATTTTTCTACTCATTTTAACACAAATGTGATAACAATAACAAACAACAAAAAACTTAACAACAATAACAAGCAAAACGAGATGAGATGAGAACGGCGGCCAGTGTTGCTAACGGTACGGAGTGTTCAATGTCACAAGATTACGTCACCATAATGAAGGCAAGGCGCATCAGCAATTTGCGGGGCTTATGCAGTAAAATCCAAAAGCAATATTTGTTGGTTCTGTTCTATTCTGTGTACTTTGTAAACACGCAATGAATAAGTAACATCCTTGTACCTTACGTTTGTTTACGAAAGTAAAAAGTCATTAATCCGAAATTTTTAGCTTTCCTCTTGAAATTCGAGCTATCGAGATCCCACTGAATTTCTATTAGTCTCCCTGAGTATGTACGAGTAGAGTCAATAAAACCTTATTTAAATCACCAATATTTGCGCTAGGATTCACGATGGCCGTTAAATGGCGCTTAGGACCTTACGAATTTTGAATTTGCGGTACGTTCCCTTAATCTTAATATTAAATTGCTGTCGCTTCAAAGTTATCAAGTTCCTCTTAACACTCCTTGACTGTTGTACGGGCCACAGTTTGCGGATTTTACAGCTTCTTTGATCGTCAAATTAGTTTATAGTTATGTAGTTTAAAGTAAGCTTAAGACGATAGTACGTAAATATGAGTGGCGTATAAAGTAAGCACACGTGTTGTTACTTTAACAATTTATTACACATACTGATTTTAATTTGTAAATAGTACAATATAAGCAATTACGCGGTACGGTAGTTCGAATCGCGTCAGAATGAAGTAACATGTATGGTTTTAAACCGTACTTATTATTATTACATTGTACTGTGTTGCACTTATTATTATTACATTGTACTTTACAGGCGGCACGCTTTCCGCCATGCTATGAGGCGTCGAGGCTGCTGGAGCAGAGTCGTGATGCACCACCCAGCCCGGCGAGGGAACCACAGGTCAGCACGCACACGCACGGATTTGAATGTACACAACACGTACGTACGTAAACGCACGCACGTACACGCACGCACTTACACGCACGCACTTACACGCACGCACTTACACGCACGCATTTACACGCACGCACTTACACGCACGCACTTACACGCACGCACTTACACGCACGCACGTACACGCACGCACTTACACGAAAACACACACATACAGGGCACATAGTAGCTGGTAAGATTTCTTTCCTATTTATGGGTCCGTCTGGGTATGTCCAACCTTCTTACTTATTTCTGCTGCTAACCAACCTTTGTGACAGAAATATCTTCGTGTGGTATTAACAATAGGTAGTTCGTCGCAATATAATATTTTATATTGCCATTTAATATAAATCGCAAGATCTGGGTTGTTCTTTGAAACGGGAGTAGGGACTGAGATGAGTAATAATGTATTTTAAACTAAAATAAAATCGTTTAAAACTGAAATGCGAAACAAATTCACGATTCACCTCATGGTTAGTGGTTACTGCAGCTGATGGACACCTGCAGCCAACTTCAAATAATGAAGGTTATAGATTTTCGTTGACACCTCTGAGGACTTAGATGGAATGCCTCACAGTCTGTAAATATACTGGCTCCAATACAGTGCAAGCGCTGGTATTTGTCGGCAGAGATAGGTACTCGTCAGAAATGAAGTCCTACCCGGTAAGAGTGAGCATGAATAATGAAGGGTGGTGTTGCAGGCCGCGAGCGCAGAGAGCCCGTGCGCGGAGGGCGGCGACGGAGCGGGCTCCACGCCGCCCGAGGGCTTCGGTCTCGCCCGACTCTCCGCCATTTTCTCCTCGCGCTACCGACAGGTAACAACTTTAAAATATAACAATGTCCTACAAAGCAAATTTCGATCACGGCGGCCAGCCTCAACAGAGACAAGGCATCTGCGCTGGAAAAGGTTATATGTGCAAGCACACGAGCACTCTCTGTTCCCTCACTCTCATAGTCCAATCGGACGGTAATCACAATTTTCAGTAAAAAGTGTTTGCAGTTTCCTATACTTTACTATATGAAACACAGCAGGTCCTTGCCCAATTGAGTCGGATATCTTATATTTATAATTTTTATTCATGAAAATTTTCTCGAAATAAAATTAAAATTAGTTCAGTTTAGGAGAAGGTAACAGGTATGGAATGATGATTTCGTTAATGATACACGCGACAGATCGTAACATCCATCCATCTTTTACAACCTACAAAAGAGCTACACTCAACATGTAATTCCCCCATAGATTTCCTCATATGGGGAATTTTAACTTAGTTGCCCCGCTTGGCAGATGGGTTGGCAACCGTTTTTTATAACTTTTAGTTATAAAAACTTTAACCAGTTTTTAATAACTTTGAGTTCTTATCAAGTTGTTAGCAGCGTCTGCTGCTCATCACCAGTTTTAGTTTCACTCTGTCGCTTCTTACGACACCCACGTGATGGAAAGGGGTAGTAGATATCTTTACACTGTCACTACACTCTTTATATCATTGAATACTGTAATACACAATAGAATGGCTGTCAAACTTATTTTGTTCGAAAACCGATGTCGCCGAAAGCACACATACAAGTGGTTACGTGGTATTATCGCTACTAGAAACCCAATTCGCTCATTGGTCATTCTAATTTCAATAAATAATCTTTACAGACCGTCTCTTTCTGAAAAGAAGGAAAAGAAATAACTGTGTTGAGATTGAACGAATTTGCACATTTTAGACTTCTGATAGATGTTCACAATCATTATGAAAAAAGGAAATCGCTTGAATTTTAATACATCTTAATCTGTTAATAATGTGTAAACTAAAGCAAATACAATCGCAGTAAGTATTATTTTTTATCACTGTAAATAAAATGTTTTTGAACACGTTTAAAATGCATAGCATCATATTATTTATGGTATCGCAGCTCTGCTTTGTCAAATTTAGCTTGATCATTTTGACAGCTCACGCTTAAGAAGTTTCGTATTTTTTAGATAAACTGTCATATAGATATTGTTGTACTTCATGGATGGGTACCGCCCCCTATGCATTTATATTAATAGATCGGCATAGATTAGATATAGATAAGATTGTACAACCAGAGCGTGTTATCAGTGATGACTTGTGGATTTGAGACGTGATCGTTCACCACTGGCCGTATGAGGAAGCTTAAGGTCGCTCAGCGAGCTATAGAAAGGGCTATGCTCGAGGTTTTTTCTGCGTGATAAACTTAGATAAGAGGATATCCGCAGTAGAACTAGAGTAACCGACATAGCCCAACAGATTAGTAAGCTGAAGTAGCAATAGGCCAGCCATATAGCTTGAAAAACCGACAACCAGTGGGGAAGAAAGGTTCTCGAGTGGCAGCCTCGTACCGGCAGGCGAAGTGTAGGGCGACCAACCACTAGATGAAGTGACGACCTGGTAAGGCATGCAGGAAGTCGATGGATGCAGGTGGCTCTCGACCGTGCTTTGTGGCATACCTTGGGGGAGGCTTATGTTCAGCTGTAATATATAATGTATAATCTTATCTATATCTAATCTAATCTATGCCATAACGAACAACCACAGACCATCAAAAATCGGTTTTGAAATAAATCGAATATACAAAAATCACGTAAATATGTATTGGAATTGGCTCTTTATTGGCAAAATATGCTCTATTAACTGTACTGATTACGTGTCAGCCCTATATTATCAGCTGTAATTCTGAAAAAAAGGAAATCAAAAATAGTATCTATTGACTCCAAGATTGTGGCAACATGTCATCCTTCTGTCAGTCAGCCATTTCGTAATTAGTACAAGTTCTGACTCTGCACCGTTAGTAACTTATATATACTTTTGTTCAATGGCGGACCATGTTGCCTGTAACCCAAGTTGGCAACAGAGTTGCGGATGCTCTTGGCATCGGTCGTGTGCCGATGTCTCGTATAACGCAAGAAAAGTATGGCAAACCTTCATCAACGTAAGCCCTAGAGGAAGACACGAAAAAAATTGTCGACGCCGAATAAGAAAAGAAGGAGAGTTTTGAGTATCACTGCGATTGATGACTTTGATGTCGCCGCAATACGCAACCATGTATACGCGTAATATAGACGTGCTGAATATCCAACACTAAGAAAATTAATAGTGTCCCTTGATATTGCCTTGGCACGGGTGGACTTTTTGAGGAAAACAAAACATATTTTTTATTCCTACTATATACCTATCTATACTACACTGCTATACACCTATCCTATTTTTATTTCCTCGTTCGTTGTCAGTTCTATAAGTTCTTCTTTTGACATTTTGACATTTGAAAAAGGATCTAACACACAGTCTGGTATTTCCAATTTCAAAATATCCAATCCAATATATCCAATTCCAAATTCAAAATATATATAAATAGAATTTTTCAATGAAATGACTGTAAAGATTTTCCAAATGTTGGCAGTAGACAAGCAAGTCTTCGTTGTTGCACGATACTGATAAATTAGGAAAATTATGGAACTCACGTCTGCCGATATTCTTTTTGTGTAAGAGCAGCTTGGCTACGAAAGCAGCGACTACATTTTTTGTTTTTATTAAGTTCAAGTCATCGCCTTGAAGTTGGAGATTCATATCATTAAGCAATTTAGAAAGGTCTGTCAGGTAAGCGATATCATTCTTTGATGTGATGAGGTTGTCACGTAACTCTGTCTTTGTTTTCCAAGAACTCTACGACAGAGTTAAACCGATTGTAAAACCAAGTCAGACAATTTCCTTTTGATAGCCAACGCACTTCTGTGGAAAAAATCAATCGGTTGAAGTCTTTATCATTAGTAACACTAAGCTGATTAACCTCTCAAACAGCAAGCGGCCAAATTTGACTGCTTCGATATTCCGTCAAAATTCAAGCGGTCAAATATGTCCGTACCCACCCACCAGCACTCTAACTCATAAAAACGTATATTTAGAGACTACTTTTCTATGAAGAAGATGACAATATAGAATCAATATGAAATTTTCTATTCTCTAGTGGAAGTATATGGATATTAATTTATATTCTACGTTTATTTCGTACAAATGGCGTACATTTTCGCGTGAAAGTTATTGTGTTGATTTTTGGATTTTTCTAGTGTTTTATTAGTGTTGTTATATAGTGTTTTATTATAAAATTGTTATAATAGTTTTTGTGTGAATATAATTTATCTTTTTACGTAAATATTTTCGAGTAATATATAGAAATAATTGTGATTTTCACGCTGCCGACATTTTTTTGTTATCAAAATATAAGAAAATCTTTTTGTAATGAAGTAAAACCTGACTTTTGTTAAGACCACAGGATAGAGAATTATTTATAGATTTTATAACGCCAAACTTCTTCATAGAAAAGTAGTCTCTAAATATAAGTTTTAATGGTTTTAAGTGCTGTGGGCGGGCGTGGTCGCATGCGACCGTTAGGGTTTTTCCAGGCGCATGTTGACTGCATGGGAGTTTTATGGGGATTGAAGGGTTAAATAATCTGTCATTTCTTTAAATGACAGATTATTTAATCAAAATCAAATGACAACTCTTTAATTGTTACGGATTTTTACTGCTCTGATGACATGTTGCAATGATTGAACAGTTGTTCACTTAAATTTCTAGCAACCAAATTTTTTACGCTAAATCATAACTCTTGAAACTTGCAAGGCGCATCCCGGGCGAGGAATGTATTCATTTGCGCCGGCGACCGTGCCTGCCAGTCGGCAGGAATCTTTGAGCGCTGAGGCCGTGCTGGTGGGGGTCGCGAGATTAGCCTAGAAAATTCTTAGTGAGCGATCCGTGCCGATTAGAGGTCGCGAGTTTTTGATAAATTTTGCCGCGTCGTATAATGACGGCCTCTATTGTGTTGTATTTTGTCGTTAATATATGTGACAACAAGGCTTTTTTAAGTTTTAGTTATTGATTTAACTTCGATTGTTATTAATTTGCGTCGACGAGTGGCTTGTGTAGTTAATTAAAGTTAAAATAAATTAGTTAAAGTGTACGAAGGAATTTTGCTTTGCCGTGTGGAACGCTAAACTTTGTGACCCGGGAAAAGATCGCGCTAGATTATAGTTTGTGCTACGTGCCGTTGGACTTTAGTTCTGATAGCGGCGGGCGCCCTCTGGAGTGATTGCGCTTTGTGGAGCGTGACAACGCATGCGGTTCTGCTTAAAGATTACATCGGTGACGTCAAGTTACATTACACACTTTCCTACACCACACACACATATCATTTACTTACCCCTGACGGTACCTTGTGGTCGACACTACTTCCGGAGCTCGGTAAGTTTGTGTTTGCTCATAGCAGCCGTTATAAATTCACTATCATAGGCCAAATTGGGCCCTCCCCACGGTTACTCGTCGAGTTGGATTACTATGGGCCCTAGTCCAGTCGACTTTTGTCGGGGTAACTGAGGGCCGTGACACAAATGTTGTCGATGTATTAATTTTAAGCACGCTATGAAGCCTTTTTGACACCCCGTCATAGCTGGAGCACCATCTGTAGCAGCTGATATAGTATTCTTCAAGGGAATTCCTTTTTCATCACAAAACTTTTCCAGTGTTTTAAATATGGTTTCTTCTTTTATGTCTGACTCTAAATTTCTAGCAAATAATAGTTCTGAGTCGCGTCCGGACCGCGTTCGCCGCCCGTCACGTCCGCTGGTCGTCGGCTTCCGCCTGGGAGGGAGAAGTACAGCGCGTCGCATCGCAGTGGGTGTACGTGCCGTGGGGTGAACTTGGCTTGCGTCGAGCTTCGAGAACGCCCCTGACCCCTCCTGGGATGACACATCCTCAACACTGCGTGTCAACCAACATGCTGGGAAGCAAACTCCGGAGGCCCGGCGTGCTGCTGTCAGGAGAGCGCACGCCTGTTGGCGACTCGGCTCTGTGTCGAGATACGTCTCCGTGGGAACTGGTAGTCGTTGACCTTTCGTCAGAACCCTTACCAGAGGCGCGAGATACGCCAGGATTGTCTAGGAACTAGCCAGGCCATCACCTAGAACTAGGAAGGAGCACCTGAGGCCCGGAGTGCTGCTACTCAGGAGCGCACACCTGTCGGCAGAATTGGCCCTACGTCGAGACCCGTCCTCTAGTAGGGCTTTGAGACTGCTGACCCTTCAGAAGTGCCTACCTAGGAGCGCGCAATACGCCAACAAGGAGAAAACTAACAATGCCGTTCCTGAACGGCTCCCAGAACCGACCCATAGAAATGGGCTGTGATGATTGCCCGGGTAATAGGGAATGCCCCGAGGCCCGAGATCTGCAGGGACGAAGAAGTCCTTTGCAGACGACATCGTATCTAAATAATAGTTCTTGACATATTTTTTCATCTTTAATAAACCTCACGTAAGACAGCAACAATGCTTCATTAGTTGGTAAAGTGGATTCATCCAATTGAATTGAAAGTTGACTAGTGTCTGAACACTGATTGCACAATGACTCTTCAATGTTTTCAGCCATTTCATCAATTCGTCTGCACAGAACTATTGCTCAAAGGAATTTTTCAAATTATGTCTGCCGGCGGTTTATGGAACACAGTAGTTTTATTGCCGGCAAATTAACGTTTCTCCGATGGTGTGTCGTTTACCTGTTTTAGCAATCAACAAAGAGATATTGTATGTAGCTCGAAGTACGTGTTCGTTTTGCTTAGCAGCCATCGGAAAAAGTTTTGATACAACTTGGCTGAGCATTATGCTTCTTTTCCAGGTCTTGAAAATAGGCTACATTTTTGTCCTTCTTATCTGGATGCGTTTTATTCAAATGACCTTGAAGTCTTGATCACTTTGTTTGAAAATGTTTTTGAACAAAGAAAGCACAAATGCAAATATGGATTTGTCGAATTTACTATGAATCCATATTAATATATTCGGCACTATATTGCCGTCTCTTCTGTTTTGCTTCCGACATGGCTTGGTTTTTACAAATTTGTTTTATTTACATATTTGTTGTTGTTGAACTTAAATACTTTTTAAAAGATTGCGGGCGAAACATTCATGACAATTTAAAAAATATTACGAGCTTTTATATAGGATTTAAATACAGCACGCACCGACAGGAATTTGACAAACATGCACGAACTCGTTTATCTCTTTCGACGCTCAATCGTACTTAGCAAGTTAAGACAAATATCGATGAACTAGCCAATTGCTACCGGATTGCACCAATACTGTTATTTAACAAAAACTTGTTACAACTTGATTTCGTACGGCGTACGAGCTATCCTACGAAATCTATGTTAAGCATTTCTAGTTTATATACCATCATACAGGGCAGAAATATAAACTAATTATTCGATACTGAGTAGTAGGCTTTAATATTAGTAATTTTTAAAATATGAAGTATCTAAATGAAATTACAAATCAACCATCGCCCCCTAAACCACGCCAACACCCCCCATTTTTTCCCGGGCCCCTTAATGCTCTAAGTCTCCAACAACAAGGGGACTTATCGCCCACTTTGCGAAAGATTGGTTTATATCATGTAATTATACTATTTATATTGTTTCAGGTGCCAACCCAGTGCTGTGACGTCGAAATGACAGACGTCCGTTCCTCTTCGCTCAACAACTCACCTCTTCGGACTCGAACTCAGCTCACGGACTACCGTAGCCCCACCTACTGTGACCTCGCCCACATGCACCTCAGCGAAGAGAACGCTCCCGAGCTCAACTACATGGCAACACCCGTAGAGTTCTTCCGGAGAAGAGCTCTAAGGCGAAACACGTTGGAAAGGGTAATCGACCACATCAACCAAGCCCAGAGACCTCTCACACTTCAACTAGGTAGGTTCCAACTCAGCATACCTAGGTTTGGCCGCAGATCGTCAACGGAACCCCGCCCCGATACTCCAAACGTAGCCGAAATTAACATCGAAGATCTCGATTTCGTCCGTCTCAACTCCAATGAGACTTATACACTGAATGGGAGGACTATCCGTCTATTGGGTGGTAACTTTGAAAACTACCCGGTGGTCTCTGATACAACAGTCCGGCCACCTCCTTATACAGAGGCAATGAGGTACAAAGTATACGGGCCCCCACCGGAGTACTTGAGTAGGGAGGGACTGAATAGGGACACTAACAACAGTAACAATGTTAATGTTGACGAAGAAGCCAGGAACAATATTGAAATGCCTCCATGCTATGAAGATTTGGCCTCCGGTGTTGATGCCAACGCTAACTTAAATAATGATAACACAGCATCCACACACAGTAGAGCTGAGAACATTGAAACCGCAAATAACTGTGATAATCCAGAAATTCGTTCAAATGTTCTGAATAATGGTAATGTGGGAGAAGGTACCGATCAAAGTTCGGGAAATGTAGCGGAAACTTTTAGCTCTGTAATTGACAACCTGCCGGCTATTGATAGTGATGTCAATGCAAATGAGACTCTGGTTCAAGTTAATGAATAATACAAGCTTTAAAGTACAAATATATTAAACATACCAGTAATAATTTCTTATATTAACGTAAACACTACATAATATTGAACAAAACAAGTTTTTTTTACAGATTTCATAATGCTTATTTAACTTATTCAATATTCCCGATATTTAAGTACTTTGCAGCACCCATGGTCATGGGGAGTAGGATGTTCTACATCTCAATGTCATAGTTAACCACGGCTACCTTCATTTAAAAATTATTAATATTTTTAGTCCAATCTATGGATCAAGAACTTATCTTGAAGTATTGCAGTGGTTTGCTTAGTTTGGGATTTTATTTTATTAATTATAGGACCCCAAGCAGATGGTAGCAGAAATTAGGATGTTTTTTTCTTTCAATAACTTCGCGAATCATCCATGATAGGAATCGGTGTTCTTTTGCGAAGATTTATGGTATATCAAAATTTGATGTCATGGCGTGTACGGTCTTAAACATGTTCACATACCGGAGCGTGGATTCTTCACATAAGCTATATGTTTTTACGCGTATTTTTATTAATCTTTCATTTTACATTACATCACATTTGATAGACCACAAATCCTCGCAAAATCACCGATTCCTATCAAGGATGATTCCCATAGCCACCATCTGTTTGTTTGAAATTTATAAAATAAAATTCCAGCTCAAGGATACCACAGCAAAATTTCAAGATACTTAGTGTTTACTGCGTAGATAGGACCATAAATAAAATAATAAACTAAAGGTAGTCTTGGTTAACTATGATATTTGGACTTCGAGCATGGCTTCCCGTGACCATGGGTGGAGCAAAGTACACAAAACATATAAAATAAATTAATAAAACGTGATAAAATTCGTAAACAAGATCTAGTCTCAATTAAGAAATAACAGTCCCATTGCTGGGCCCAGTCCTCCCATATTTGGGAAGGTATAGAACTGTAAAGTATAAAATATGAATTAGATTTCAATCACAATCTTTTTAACTCTGATGGGAAAACAATTCTTTTGTTTATAAAGTTCGTACACATGGAAAACCTTAAAACTATCACTACCTTAATATCTAATATTTTGTAATATTTGGTTGTCTAAAGGGATCATAATTTAACAATTAAACTTTTACTTATTAAGTATTTAAGTTACGTTATTCTGATAAAATGTTTAAATAACCTAGTAATTCTGAAGGAATTGTAACATATGTTTACATATTATAAATGTCACTATAATTACTATTGGTTATACAAACCATAGAGTATAATTTATTTTTGTTTAACTTGTTGCCATTTAATAACTTGCCATTTTTTCATTGATGCAAAATAATAGAAAAATCGTGGCCTAATCGAATGATCTAATGTTTTACAAAGTTTTTTAGAAAGGTATTTTATTTTATAGTGGGACTTAAGTTGTTTATAATGATACGGGTCGAACACTCACCTCTACAGGGGAAAGATGTATCAGTGTTGACAAGTGTTGATGTTCTTAAAAATTATGTACTGTCCATTAGTTGTACTATATGTAGCTTTTATTAATGTTGCCATATTTAGGAGTTGTGCGCATCAATGTGGCTGCATGTGTGCTTGTATAAAACAAACTTAAGAATTGAATATTTGGACTGTTCATTATTAAGTTAATTTTAACACAAAGCATCATATACATCACGGCATCATCATCCAACGTATACATCATCATTCCTAAAAATTCACTGCCTTTGCAGACACCTCCCTTCTTTTAAGGAGGATTTGCAATAATCGCAAAAATATATTTTTATTTATGATTACATATGGATGGTTTGTGGCAGTGGGGGAGGGGTCTATAATATTTCTTATTCTAATAATGAGGTTGTCTTGGACAACAATTAAAATAAATTATATTTGTGCTGGAAACCTTAAGAAATCAAAATTTTCATATATTATGTCGCATACTATATATATATATATATATATATATATATATATATATATATATATATATATATATATATATATATATGGCCACACTGAAGCGCACAACAGTGCCCTCTATATTGTTTCGTACGTAACATAGTGATACTCATTTTGTGTATATATTTATTTCAAAATATTCTTGTTGCGTCGTCTATCTGTTGATTTTTGTTTGATGTTGAATGTCGTGTGCGACTGTGGTGGAATTCTGATCATGTGATGAATATGTTGTTAGTTTTAGACAGTACAATGTTATGGGTAGGTCGGGATGTATCCACTACTCGTACAGGCTGTGGGTTTTTAGTATTATATACCATCTATACTATATGGCAGCTATATTATGTTGGCAGCACGCATGGGTCGGCTCGACCGAGGGAGGACCACGCTCTCACAAAATAGCAGCTTAATGCTACTTTGTTTGGTATGGTGAGTGTAGAGTACCGGAAACCCTTTTTACTGGAAACGAGGCATTCCATCTTAGTCCACGGGGTTGACAATGCATCTACATTTTGATTCTTAATTGTGGTTAGATGTTGTTGTCTATGGACCACAGCACCCACTTACCATCAGGTGGACTGTGTGCTCGTTTATCGCCCTGATTCTGTAAAAAAAGCCAGGTCTCTATTACCAAGTTTAATATTAAACAAAAACTATATAAAAAGGGTTATTATAATATAAATTAACACATGTAACCCCTGGAATGAGGTGGTCGCTTGCAAGCTGTTTCTAAAATATATTGAAATGGTAAATATTTTGTAACTAAAGTTCAAATTGTAAAATTTATTTAAAAAAAAGGACCCGCCGGGTTTCTTGCTGGTCCTTCTCACGACAGAGGTTTTTTTTTCAACCAGTGGTAAAGTAAAAAGTCACTTTCAATAAGAATTATATGTACCTCATCTATATTGTTAGTCTAAAGCGCGATTGCTGATCCTGCGTTTGAACCCGGGTCGGGCCAAAATCAGTTATAGGGTTTTTTTGTCAAGAAATTCTCAGGCGCCCGAAGTCAGGAGGTTAGCGGGTTTCACTCCCGTGGCTCGAAAAACACGTAAAACCATTGGACCTGCGCTGCGCCTGCTCTCCCTTCGGTCGTGTTGGATTACCGTCCCATCGGACTGTGAGAGTGAGGGAATAGAGAGTGCACCTGTGCTTGCGCATACACTCGTGCACTATGAAACTGTCCTGCATGGACAGTATCATAGTCTCCGTTAAGACTGGTCGCCGTGACCGAAATTCGGTCTGGAGGACATTATAACTTAATTCAGTTCTTGCAAAGACGTCATTTTTTTATTTCAATCTCCGTCCAGCATGTATTAGTCTTTGTGCTATGGTAGTTTCTAAATTTCTCTAATACCTTGTCTCAAATATTACTTGGTATTCGATTAAGTTGTCAGAATTTCGTCACAGTTGCAAATTAAGTTGTTGAATGCTGAGTGAATGGCGAGGTTTATATATAATTAATTTTACAAAGTTATTAATTAATTATATATAAACTTCTATTGAATAGATGCCGTTTGCAATTGGCCAGTTGTGGGAAGTTGATAGTACTTAATACTACACTGTTCACTATCATGTTTGTTGTCTTGCACTGAAATAGGATATCATAAAAACATTGGTAGGTTTTAGTAAATCAAATTGCAAAGTTGAAAAAATGTTTCCAGTTCATAATATCTTTCCGACTTCTAGGTTTCTTTTATAATTGTCTGTTTATAAAAGGTCGGGAAAAAAGTTTCCTGTATTTTATATACAAATTGAAGACTTTTCTTCCAAAGTTTAATTACATTTACACTACAGTAGTAGTACTACATACCTGGTCCAATTGTGGATCGTTTAGATCATCTACGGACCCACTCAAACGCACACAAATAAAATTCATCAAAATCTGATTCTACCACAGGTTTGAATCCGGATCGAATGACCACAAATTATGGGTGCGCGAATGACGAAAGGTATTGCGGGTTGAACGATTAGGTGGACTGTATTAGCGTGGTTCGTTATAAAACAAAACAAAATGGCGGACGTGGCACGTGGCGGTCTTTGAACAAATATACGTGCTATAAATTTGATCTAATAGTTAGCCGGCACGATGGAAAACGTGAGCTGCTGTAGAAAACAGAACAACAGAATAAAAACAGCTCAAGATTAAGTAACAGGCACTTACCTGGGCAAGCTGCAAGCGGCCTCACTCAAAGTACAACGACGAATTTTAAATGCAAGGATGTGCGTCGCCGCAACCGAAATCATTTGAGCCGTTTTCTAGTATGAGACTAACGGACCATAATAGATTTTTATATAGAGATAAGTGCTATTAGTCAACTAAAACTTTACAACTCTTACCTGTAAATAAAGGCACGACGTTCAAAGCTTATTCCTTAATTTTAATTTATAATAAATCTTAATTTTTATTTAACTATAAAAATATAAAATATAATTTTATTATTTACCTTTTTATTTACCGTTGCCATGAAAATACAATTTGTCACTAGTCCCACAATACTTTTACTTACATATTATATAATCTGCGCGAAGTGCAGCATACATTTTCTTTATACATTTACGTCACGCTTATAACCCCAGAAAGGGTAGGCAGTCAAAAGAGTAGTGGTCCACTCATACCCCGTTTAGCCAAAAAAAAATATGGAAATGGATGGAAAATTGTCATGGATGTCGCCTATGCAATCGCAAACCCAATATCTTTTGAGTCGCCTTTTACGGCAAGTCCTATACAAACATGGGACCTATAAATCCCAGAACTACATAGCATAGCTATTATTTTATATTTAATAGTTTGAAGGATTTGATTCGTAATGAAAAAAAATTTATTGAAATATTTTACTTAATATTCCATAATTAACCCCTCAACAATTTTACATTTAAATAAAACTGGACTGGATTTCAACTGATACAATAGGCATTCGTCTAATTTAGAAAAAATTTCTACAATCTTCATGCTACTGTCCTAATGTTATGTGATTATTATAGATCTCTGTTACATTTGTGCATAGCTTTCTTAATTAGGTATTTATGAGATCATTCTATTTTTTAGAGAGCAACTAAATTGTCTCTTCTTTTAA